TCAAAAGCTCTTTAAACCGAACAATCATTGTCTGTGCTGCAAAAAAATCACAAAGGAACGTCAACAAATTGTTCAGACTTAAGCCAAAGGCATTAATAATGAAAGAAGTGTCCAACAATACGTACACGCTTAATTGAGTCATGTAAACACAGTCAATGAAGCATCTAAAATCACAGCTTGTTGATCAACAATCAGTCAGTACAAAACTTCATCACTTTGGTATAAATAAGCTCATAAAAGTGCTTTAAAATCCAAAAAAAAATAAAGTGAAAATAAAAATATATATTTCTGGTCAACTCAATTGCCTTGTTGGGGCGCCTGTAAGACTAACTGTCTTGTAAGACTTTTCTGCATGCCTTTTTAAAAAGTAATTGATGATGTCATTACAGTTCCTTTGCCTTTTTTTCTTCTTTCTTTCGTTTCGTTTCTTTTCTCTTCATTTGGGCAACGGGAAAAGTTTTATGTACCGCATAACTATATGACTGTATCTAAATGTGTACATTTATATGAAGGCAAGAAGCATAAAAAAACGAGTGAACATGGAGATGGAGTTGCTCACAGAAGAGAGAAAGGAAACTTTTATCCTTTTCATGCTTGTTGAAATGTCAACATGATATAATAACATCGGATATTTAATACCAAAAGTTCAAAATAGTTGTTAAGGAGTGTAGTCAAAAAAAGAAATAATTTTGTGATGTCTCTTGAGGGATAATTGAGATGAACTTTGTTTACATGAGTCTTGTTTTCTTCTTTCGATTCTAAACGCTTTTTTTTCTGAGTTTGGGTTCCCGAATGGCACAATCTTGCATTAAGTTGGCGGATGTGGCTGGTGTGAAGTTGATGTAGCTATAACAGCTTTTTAGGATATGATGGGCTTCTTTTGGCAGGGACGAGGGTACAATTGAGACATTGTGGTATCTCCTTTGGCGTTGCTACATAATTGGAACAGTGACAGAGTAGTTTTAAATCCGAGACTATTCAAGTGTGTCTTTTACAACAAAATTTGTTGAAGCTTCTTAAGGAAAGGCACTTAATCAATAACACTGCTCGGAAGAAACTGCATAGATTCTACTTTAATCAAATTAATGGTTAAAGATGACATTCTGTTATGCTTTCTAGTTAAATTCTGCTTGGTAGTTTAGTGACAAAACATTCTCTAGGTCCTAGATTCTAAGAAATTGAAGCTTGGGTTCAATTCCCATTAAGCTTTAGTATTCAATGTTAAGTTCATTGAGTATCAAAATCAGAGTGGCGATCATCTGTCACTTACCTGTCTCAGGCACTGAATGTTTGCAGGCAATATCTGTGACAGATCTGTCACCTGGGACAGTCGACCTGTTTCGCAATCCTGATCAAAACTAAGTTCTTACAAAATCTGTAAAATCTGTTGCACGATGAATATGCTTTTCGGGACTATATGCGAATCTTGTATCCTAAGTAATTTCTCATTCAAACTTGAGAGACACGACACAGTGAAATATTTTTACGACACTCATTCCAACAGCAATTTTAGCATAATTTGCTTTCAATTTATTGAATGAGAAAACAATCACACGAGTAGCAATGAGTTGATTTTATTATTTCTTCTCATTCTTAATGTAATTTATTTTTATTCAGAATTCTTTACTTTTGTTTTTTGTTCAACAAGAAAGTTTTACAACAATCCATTTTCTCTCTCATGGATGGAAATAAGAGCAAAAAAATACTTCGTTGTTTCTTGGATTGTATATTTATCCATAAATACGCTTAAGTGTAATGCAAAAGTCGGAAAATTTACTATGAACAAAACTTTTGGTTCTACTTTGTTGAATGCATAAAACTTATACTCTATTTCTTCCTTTCATTGGCTCTTACGTTAAGAAATGCAAACTTAGCAGACGATACAAGCTCGTTTTAGTGGAACTGTGGGAATTTTCTTTATTAAAATTATGGGAATCATAATTACACTGTGTGCTGGAAAAATGTGCACAATTTTTTTTTAAAGTTCTACTTTTTAAATGCTCTTGGTGACACACTTTTAGGATGCTTTAATGGGAAATGGGATGTGCTGATTTAGAAATTCGTTGAAAATTATTATTGCTTAGCTTCGAGCTTTTTTTTATTAAAGCTAAGCTTTACCCGAGTAGCACAAGTCGGATAATCGAGATGAAATCCTACGCTAGGACGACGTGGTTACGATCTAAGGGCGAATTTCTCGTCATGACGAAAAATTTGCTCTAAAGTCGCCGTGATATCTTCCTTGCGTAGGATTTCGTCTCGATTATCCGATGCTTCATTTGAGCTGATTGTACCAATGCATAAGCTCTTTAAGATCAATGAGTGTTTAAGCAAATCTATCCATATGCTTCAGTGACATGATACTCCAGTTTCTGATACCACAAACAAAGAATGCATCCTTTTGAACTTAATTCCATTTGTGCTGAGGACTTCTTGTGGAAATACTTTCTGACTATTGCGATTCTAATTAATATGTAAAACTGTTTAAAATCATTCAACTGTTCTCAAATAGCATTGATATATGTTCCCTATAGCTTCCTAAGTGCTCCCCATTGCAAAACCTTATTTATTACTCATTTAAGGCAGGAAAAAATTGTAAAAAGCTTAAACTATTTTTTTTCCTGAGAATAAAAATAAAAAGCATAAAAGCTTTTCAACGTAGACGTGATTCGATTCAAAAAGTCGACAGCATTTCCTTCTTTTCTCTCGCTTGTGTGCTGTATTTTTTTGCTCCTGACTGTGTATTTGAGTTTATTTAAACAATTTTACTGCATCGGTAAATGTTGAAACTTTTTGAATAATTAATCATAAAATGTTGTGTTATAAATAGAGTTAAAAATAAAAATTCAACAACATAACAGCATTAAAAATTCATTCAACGATTGTATGTACATATTCCATGTTTGTCTTGTAAATCGTTTGGAGTCAACATGGAGAAACTAGTTAATATATTACATTAGCGATGATCATTTAAATTGATTGACACATAATACAAAACTGTTGACTGTATGCTGATTTATTTGTCTGGATGCATAGTAATGAAGACAATAAAGGAGTCGATTATAAATGATGTCTGTTGAACGAATAAATTTTTTTACGCAAAACACATGCCGCAAATGTTTTCAATGATAGGGTTTGTAAGTTTCCTGACAACTATTTTATGCCATCTTAATTGTTGTGTCCCAAAACTATTCATTCTGGTTTCTAGTGGCAATCCCTGAAACATCTAACAACCGCTCTTGATCCCCCTCCGCCCACAAAAATCACACGTCATCAGTGAACGACCCATAAACGAAATGAAGATCGATTAAGAGTCAAAAAGAAATGAAACTTAGAAAAAAATAAACGCCTTCAGTCTAGAATGACACGAGAGGGGAATGAAAGAAGAAGATAAAAATCGATTTCGATTTAATAAGAGCTTGAGGGACTCATTTCTGTGACTTCTTAATTGAATTTAGTTTCTTTGTCGACTTCTGAAGGGAAATTGAAAACTTTCTTTCAGGGGTCGTTCACTTATGACGTCCGAAATTTAGTGGAAAGGGAGGTTCTATTATTTTGTTACGTTTCAAATAAAAGAAATTTTTTTCATAGGATTTTTTTGATCGCGTTACGTAATAAGTGAACGGCGCTTAGCTAGATTTTGTCATTAGTGTAGAGGAAAGCATGTCCTTTTGTCTTTGCTGTAAATTACATCATTAAGACCACAAATTGTGTCTGGTGGCAAATTCTTATTTAATAATATTTGTGGTATGATTAGGTTTTCAGACAAACCAATTTCACCTCAATTTTTCTTAATAGATTCAATCTTGTAATTTGTGCTGATTAAATCTTTAATTTTCTTGCAGTTTGTAGATGAATTTTGCCGTTCGATGAAGGCTATAGAATCATAGAGATGAAGAGATTTTCTCCACAGCAAAATGTTTGCATAAGGAGAAGAATGTAAATCTCATGAAGATGCAAACAAGTTGTGAACATGCACTTTGTTTGAATATGCATTGCTCGCAAGTCAACCTTGTGCTTAATTTCTATGAGAAATTGTTGTTAGAAAAATTCGTGTATGGAAAGGATAGGGTGGCTTATGGGATAAGTTTTTTTTACTGTTCGTGCTTTTCTTCAAGGTTTGTGGGTCTTGTACTTTGTGATTTTGTTTGTCTAAGAAGCTGTGATGTTCTGTAAGATGCAAACGTAACTGGTTTTACCATATCTGAGGGATATCAAGTATATACACGCGTTGATATGCAGATGCTTCCTTACTTTTCAATACTGGCTGAGACAAATTTGATCTAAGATCTCCTAAGCTTGGTCAATTGCTTATTCCTATTGGCTTTAATGATCTATGATCATTGCTTAGACTCTGTCCTCTATTACCATTGCCAAAATCACAAAACTAATGCAGCATTCCAATTCATGTCCTATTCTTGAGGTCTACCTTAAAGTAGCACGTCCAAAATTAATTATTTGTACCAATTTGTACGGCAAAGAGTTCTTTTTAAATTTAAAAAAAATTCTATTAATTGAAAAACGTCATTTATAAAACGACCCTTCATATCAAAATATGATTTTACAAACTCACAATCATCTGAATTAAAAAGCCCAGCAACAAAAAGAAAATATTTTCTATTCTACACAAAAAGAGCAATTATTTATTTGGGATGATATTTCGTCTATTCCACAAATGCAAATTCGACATAAAACTTTAAAAACATGCCAACATCAAAATATCCCTTTCTTAAATATTCAAAGAAAACCCCTCCTCAAAAATAGCAAAAAGGGATTAATCAGCATTCTAATTTTCCATTTCTATCTTAAAATGTATTTTTTTTTTAAATATATAAATTCTTGGTAATGTTCAGAATGGTCGTTGGAGCAACTCGTTTATATAAAGTTTTATGCTAGTTCTTACTTGTGTTTAAAAAACTTTATTTTAATAATAAATGCCGATCCGAAAAGAAAACTTTTTAATGGTAATATCTTCTTAATTTCTCTTTTTCTCTTATATCCAGATAATATTTGATGGCTTTACCGTTGGAAGATATGATGAAGGTTTAGAAGAGCATGATTTTGAGGCAACAGATACAAGCTTAATGTCTGCCTCGGGCACTGATGCTTGTAAGTATTTCTGCTTATTATTTTTATCAATACATAAAATATTTATCAATATTCTCATTTTTTTTCGTTAACATTTTCTTTTGTGTGCAGGTCCCGATGGCTATATGCAGGTACGAGATAAAATATATTCTATTTACATAATTTACATACAATGTATTCGACATGTCGAGATGAAAATGTTCTCTGTTGTTTCTTGTATCAAAGTTTCTCTCACCACTTCATTCGCCCATCAAATCTCCCTCAACCATAACTGCTTATTCTTACTTCTACGTTTTTGCTCATGCCACAAAAAGGCTATGAAAACAAATGGTGAATTAATGGTGGCATCATTACATCGGTTTCTTCTCTATACTTTTTTTTAGCCCATTTTTACTAAACAAATGTGTTTATTTGTTTGATTTGCTCGGTTGGTTGACCAACTTTATATTATGATGAAAATTAGAGATAATAGAAATTTTATGACTCTGCTAACGACTTTTGCTATTCTTTTGATGAGATTTTAGTCGAGAAAGTTTGAGAAATAAATAATATCAAGCGATAAAAGCTTGAAAAGCTTTTTCAGTTCAGTGACAAAATTTTTGATTTCTTTTAAATTTGCTAATTGATTGAGTTGTTGAACTTAATTCTGCAACTATCCAACTATTGCCATCTTTTTATTTAAGTTTGTCAAAGGATTTTACTGAAATAGTAATATAAATGCTTAAAAATGAGAAAAAACTTTTCGAAGTGGGAGTTCATTCAGTAACCAAAATTTAAATTTACAAAAGTAAACAAAAAGTATTTAAAAGCTCTTAATTAACTTAAAAAGAAACACAAATGCTTTTCATCTATCGAATACAGTAATAATCTCTTTACCAAATTTTGTGCTTTAATTTCTCTCTCATCCTTTTTCTCTTTATTTCATTCCATGTCTCATCTTGCGTTACAGTTAAGTGAATTGGGTAGACCTTTTACCGGAGGCTCCTGGTGCGGTACAGCAAGCGGCCCACAACAATATTTTAGTGAAACTTCAACAGTTACGGCATCTGTTAAGGTGAAATTAACCGAATATATACAAACACTTTATTTATAGATCTTTTCCTTCTCTTATATTGTGTCTGAATCTTTTGGTTATGAATGTTTTTGGCTACAAAAATTTCTTTATCGAAAATACTATGGATGAATGCGTGCGCACCACAAAGAAAAATTCATCTTTATTACATTTTCTTTTTCTTTCTTTTTTTTGCCTCTTTTTTTCATCTCAAACATTCCAACACACCAGGTGTTTCACGCTCCATCACTTCAACAAGAGATACCTTTTGAATTTCGAATACGATATAAATTTTTGAGTCATACGGAAGCTGTTGTAAGATATGGAACATCATCAGATTTGTATGATTTGGGTCTTGTGTCACCTGGAACATATTGCACGCGTCAATTTGAAGAATGCTATCGAAATAAATGTCGACTACAGTCACCAAATTATCCTGGAATGTATCCGCGTAATGTGACATGCTATTGGACGATTCGACAGAAAACTATACCAACATGTAAACATGCTATGATTGCTGTTAGTCAGGAGAACAGTCATAAATCACTGGTGAAACGTTCGATTGCTAGTCTTAATAAAACAGCACGTACTATTCGAGCGTGGTCAGGTAATCAGATGAAAGCTTCTATTTTATTACTTTCTATCATATTCGATTCTCTCATTTTGCTTCATGTCTTGATGAACAAAATTTTAGATTAAAGTTCATGTAACTGTCTCATGCATGATGGGAGAATGATGATCTTTTAGAGGTTCCATGAAATGTGGTTGATTTAATTTTTATGATGCAGGATTTTGATTTATAATAAGTTTTAAGAAATTACTTGATGACTGATCAAGGGGACAGCAACATGATGAGAATTTTTAATAATTTTTTTCCTCATCATGTTGTTATCCCCTTGAGACAATTAAACAAATTGACAAAAGCAAAAGTTTTAGAACCGTCGTCTATAGGCTATATCTTTGATATTTCTGAGTCTGATTTCATCTGATTCCTATCACAAAGTATCAAAAGTATCGATCTTAGAGTAAACTACTAGTCTATTCCAGTGCTCGAAGTCAATAAAGTTTTATATGGAATCGAGTCGACTCTACCATACAAAATCTATGAAAATTTCGAGTCGAATTCGAGCTCAAGTCTATTCACAACATGGAACCGCTAGTCACATCGTCCCGTTACGTATGACTACAGTGACATTTTTCTTGAGCTAATTTTGTATTAACTCAGAACCTTATTCCTCATATCCTTTTTTTCTGTGTCTTTGACTTTCTCATTTTCATCAAACATATCACATTTTATACATCCATAATATATACATTTTCGTCTACAGATTGTACAGGCGAACGTGATCACTTAATTTTTTATGATGGCAGTTCTACAAATGATCCAGTTCTGGCAAAGTTTTGTGGTGGTGATTGGTTGCCAAAAGTTGTATCGAGGTAATTATGATTGCGGTGTGTCATTAATTAATTACTCAAATGCCAATATTTCTTGTTAATACTCAGCTATAGCTTTAGTGCTGCCCTTTATTTCTAAAACACTTTTTTTCTGTGTTCCTTTATGTGACAAATAATGGCAGCTACAAATTGTGTGATAAAATTGATTTATTTATGTTCCCTCTCCCAACATTTAATCTTTTGTGTTGCATTTAACTCATTCCATATGTTTTTATTATATGTTTGAATTAATAGGAGCAGTGAGATGTTGATAGCATTTCATTCATCACCATATTCAGCTCCATTGCAAACAGGCACGCCAAATCGTGGCTTTGAGCTCAACGTTGACATATTGTTCACTGATTCGGATTCTTACAATTTTATGCAAAACATTAAATGTGAATTTCACATAAATGCATCGAGCCCAGGTAAGTCAGTTTTTATTTTGTTGAAAAAAATTTGGAGGGCAGGTGAAGCAGAAGAATAAGTAAGCTTCTAATGTCATTCTCTTTGTGGTGCTATATGTTTACATTTCTTTTTTGACTTCACACTAACTGTGTACACGGGAAATGAATGAAAATGTCTTGGTGCTGTTACTGCTGTCGTTGCTTTCACTACTGCTATTACTGTTTGTTTTTGTTTGTTTCAAACCATTCATCGTTCACAATTTTCGCACCATTCATAAGTTTGCCGTTAAATAGGAATAACGAGTTTGTGGATGTTATAATGTTTGAGTTTCTGAAGCGAATTTTCTGTGCTGCTAAATTGATTAATTTGGTAGGTTAGCAGATTGCTATTTGTCATGACAAACTTAATGTAGGCGAATTTGCCAGTACGAGATTAAAACCTTTGTGGTTGAGTGATTATGGAACAGTTCCGAAATCTTTAAAAATCTATTTCGAGAAGACATGGGTTCGATTCCTACCAAAAGTCACTGCATATGTATTTGGTATGACAATGGTTTCCATAATGCTCACGACATTATAAAAAGCTTCATGACAATAATCTAGGATTAAAAATGGAACTGAGGATTAGCCTTTGAAAGCTGATCCAAAAATTAAATGATCCTAGAAATTCTAGAAAGCAATAAAAATGAAAACAGAAGCTTCAATAAACAAAATACCCAGAATAAATTGAAGAACATTGGAAATAAGGTTCAAAATATTTTTTATTAATCATTTCATCAGAATACAGAAAATATCGTTCAAGGTCCTTGCTTCCCCTCGCAAAAATAAATTGCCACATCTTAATATCTGGTAAAATTTTCATGTCTACAGTCTAACACGCAAATATCGACAGACACTCATAATGTTGCTAATAAGACATAATTCCTGGGACAACACGCCGAAAAAAGAAAGAAAGAAAAGGCGTAGACTGCCACTTCAACATCAAACATAAATTTTATTTCTCCTTTTTTCTTTTTCATCATCTTGGCTTCCCCTTTCCTCCTTCTCACTTTGCGTTCATTTCATGTTTGCTTTAGTGAATAATTTAATATGATTTTAATACAAGATAAATATCATGAGCTTAATATCATAAAGTCAAGAGATGAGGAAAAGAACGTAAGAATGAATGAAGGAAAGGAGGAAAAAGAAGGGAAGAAACGAGAGAGAAGAAAAAAGAAGAAATAAATCTCTTCATTCTTGCTTTTGTAGGATGATGCCACTGTTCTTCCGCTGTGCTGCTCGTTGCTTTTATTCTTAACGCATTTTTGCATAATGTTGGAATTCTACTTGCAAATTGACTGGCTGAATTGCTATTGAAAATTTAAATTAGGCTACAATTGTTGAGTTACTAAATTGCAGTTTAAATTTAAATTCTACAACACTGTTAAAATTTAAATTCTACAAAACCGTTTAAATTTAAATTCTACAAAAGCGTTAAAATTAAAAAAAAAGATGAATGCTACAACACTGTAGGAAGCTTAGTTCAATCTTAACTCCAAGAAGCACTTTAAAAACTCGTAATTCACAGAAATTCAATATCCCAACGACATCTTAACTACCATCCTACATCACTCGAATTGTGTTATTTAACATTCTCATGTTCTGATGGTGTTGGTGATGGCGGTATTGTCCCTAAACGATTTAGATTTAAAGATTTACATAAAGCTTTTTTTTTCTTCATCTTTCTTATCATGGCAGGGAGGGCAATGTATATGAGTATAAAGTAAAACGCTATTACATAATCGCTATTCGTGATGTGAAAGATGGTAATAAAGCTCTTGACACAAATAATTGAGATTTATCTCATCTTGCCATCATTCCATAAGCTCCTGGCACTTTCATATGATGTAGATGCAGTTTTCAGAATTCAATAAAAGAAGTTGAAGTATATAATTGTGTGTTCAAGTAGTGAATTGATATGACACGTTTGTAATGCATTACATGCATCGTGAAATTGTTTAATTAATAGCAGTTATGAGTTGCAGTCGTCAGTCAGACGTTTATAAAATATTATATGACATGAACTTTTTAGATTTATTTCATTTAATTTATACAACTTCTTTTTTTGTATTCATTCTGACTTTTTAATTTATAATTCTAGCACACATATGCATGCATAAAAAGTCTATTTCCATCTTACTCACTCAGTTCTGCTTTCGCTTGCTCAATGCTCTGCGAGTTTTCGGAGGGGAAACACAAAAAAAAAATAAACTTTGAAAGTCCTGCAGGGCAGATGAATGAAATAAAACAACAATGTTGGCAATTTCACAGGATATAAAAAAAAGTTGAAATGATATTTTTACAATTTGAATAATTTAGGCGCTTTTTTTTTGTTATAAAAAAATTATTTTAGGGGAAATAAACTTTTGTAATGGAAGAGCTTTAGAATTTTTTTTTGAGATATTTAAAATATTTCATGTTTCACTGTTTCAAAAGAGCTTTCTGTATTTGAATTTCAAATTGATTGCTTTATTTGTTCATATGAGGTAGGGTGGATACAATGACTACAATCTATAGTCATACGATACTGCGAATTTGGCATCCTTTGTGTTCAATTAAATAATCGTAAAATAAACAGAAAAACGTGATATAATTGGATCAATAAAATAGCAGCAGTGGCGTAGTGGTTAGAGTGTTGGTCTACCAACCTTTAAGACTCTGGTTCGATCCTAGAAAATGTCTAATCAGATTTTGGGTCTTTTTCACTGTTCTAGTCAAGGCATCTCGGTTTGTGCCAAACATCTTCAAGAAACCTTATCTTTTGAGCTGAGTAGATCGATAATTTTAAGGAAAATCCAAACCTTAAGCTATTCATATCAAATGTGATCTAGAGCTGCTCAAGGTTTTCTTGGTGCTAATGATAGTTTAAATTAGTGCTCTTTAAACTATAAATTCTTGGAAGTCTTTTGTTCCGTAAGAGAACCACAACAATTCTTGTTGTATCAGTAGTTGCCAATCTGCAGGATAAATAAGGTTGATATTGTTGTAGTGGGAATTGAACCACTGCTTTGATGAAATTTCTGACTTTAGGCAATAAAAGTTATTATTCAAGTCGAATACACTCAGGATTAATCCTTTAAATTCTACCAATTTCTGAAATGACTCAACTTTAGGTTTAGAAAAGCTTAAGGTTTTCTGGTTGGAATTCAATATAACATGCCTGGAATTGGGATTATCCCGATTGTATACGCTTTCCAGAGGTTAGTTCCAGGCGCTACTCGAAACACACTTCCTTCTACGTCTCAGAATAATTTTATAAATCCCTTATGTTGTTGAACATCGAATTTCATTCCAAACCCTAGAGTAGCCCGGTTAGGGTTAGAAACCAGCCCCTGATAATAAGGAGAGGTTCACTTATAACTTTTTTCTTTGCAATTTTATCAAAAACTCTTGAGAAAAAGTTATGAAATTTTTCTAAATTTATGTTCTAAGAATTCATCAAAGAACAAGCAAAATCTCTAGTTGAATGTCACAGCACTTACACTTACACGTGTATCTAAATTAAGAACAAACAAAATTTCTTTTATAAAATTTCAAAGACAAAGTGCAGACACCACCTACACATGTGTCTAAGCAATAAAGCATCAGCGATATAACATGTGAACAAAGAACATCAAGCAGAAAGGAAAGAGAGATGTGTGCATTTGAAATAATTCTGTTATTTAAATTAAGATGAAATTTTAATTTTCATCAATTTTCAAAAATAACTTTAAGCGATATTTTCATGTTTTCTATCTTGTTGCTGCCCTGTGCATTCATAAAACGTACATTCGGGCTAAATCAGTACATGTATATACATAGAGGAGCGTATTACATCCACCGTACCTTTTTATATCCCTCTAAATTGCTTTTCTTGGATTTTTTTTTAGAACTTCCTTTAGCTGGATAAGTGCTTCCAAAGCATGCTCGCCGCTCTTAACATTAAAATTCTATTCGAGAGTTATTTTATGCATAAACATTATGAGCATTATATTTATGAGTGACAAAGGAATAATAAATAATTTCATAAGCTGAGTAGCATAGAAAGGAAGAGATTATAAAGGTGCTGCGTCGTCTTAAGGTGAATTAGAATAAATATGTATAAACTACCTCTCGATGCCATCGCTGTCATCGTCGTTGTCATCAATATAAAAATTTATTCTTAATGGTAGATAAATTTTTCCGGTTCTTTTAGCCTTTTTCTTATATTATGCAATATTGAGGACGATAAGAACATGATACTGCAGAAGAATCTTTTCAATTGGACAAAAGTAATTTCTTCAGATTGCCCTTTGACGACGAGTAGATGTGAAATGGGATCAATTTCTAGAGTACTTCCATTTAATCCATGGAAGAAAGCAATTACAATTAAGATTTCCGTTTTAAGTGAATTAAAATGTACAAAAAAAAGACAGCAGACTGAGGCAATGTTATCGTGTACCAAAATCCAAACGGAAATGAATGATGGAAGCGTATTTATGATGGATTTGTTTACCATAATTTTTTTTACAATCTTTTTTATGAAGAAATTGCTGGAACTGCTTTTAAAATTTTATATCATGTATCCCTCGATTTTATTTGGGTCAAAGTAGGCTTTAAGCAACGTATAAAAGAGATACTTAAGTTCTCTTTGACAAAATGGCTTCAAATGACAACAAAGTTGCAGAATTTAATCGAAATCTAAATGAGAATTTCAATCAATTGATATACTTAACCCATTTTCTTATGCTCCTCAACAAAAGCGGCAATACTTTACAAAACAAACAGTGTCTCGAAAACAAACAATTTTGGAAGTAAACGAATGCAAACAAAGTGAATGAAAAGCTTTACATTATCTTCTCCAAAAATCTGTTTGAAATTGTGTTCCATCAGATTTAATTAAAGGCAAGTTAGATGGGGAGGATGGGGAAATAGAGAATGTAAGGACAGAAACCTCACCATTAAATGTACTACAATATCATACACATTAAGCATCTCCTCTCTAACATCGACGTTAATTATTTATTAAAGGAAATGTATTTCGTTCTTTTCTCAAGGGATTTAATATTGAAATTTCGTGCTTGTCCTGATTTCAGTCGAAAAAAAAAATTACTCTGTGTACTGACCTAGCACAAAAATGGCAAAAAAATACCGCAGCAGTAGCAACATCAATGAAAGGACGAAATAATTGGAAATTCAGTGTTTACCTTTCTTCCGAAAGGCTTAATTGCCTTTTTTCTGCACCTCCGTCACCTCCTTCTCACTACAGTTACTCTATTTCATGTACTTTACATTGTCTCCAATATCTCTATTTTAGATGATGTCATTATGTCACAGAGAAATGGTAGAATGGGTCGTTTACTTAGTCCACGTCATACACTACCACCAAATACGACATGCACTTACTATTTTCATGGCTTTCCAAATGACTTAATTTGGTTATCGTTCACCAGTCATCATTTGCAGCTTTTACAGCCAGTTAATCATGATAATTTAACGCAATCATTTGGACAGGTAAGTTAGTTCTTGTGTTAGATTGTAATTTATTCAATGTGTTCTTCCTCTGGAACCTTTTCTGGAATAGGAAGTGGATTTATTGTTCTCGTTTTGTCCGATTGGATAAATGGTTATTGAATTGCAAACTTGGAGTTTATTTGATGATTTAAGTGATTATGATTTTCTATTGTTGATCTATTCATTTAACATTGTTGTGGTATTGAGACGCAATTATGTAATGTAATTATTAAGAAATCAACTTTAAGTTGATTTAGCGCATTTTTTAAACTTGTTTCTAAAAGGTAGCTTAATATCTCACTTTGTCTGTTCGTTCGGGCAGAGAAAAACTTTTTAACTAGACATCGTAGAGAGTTCTAGTTTGTTTTATTAGCTCAGGTCCATTGTTTTATTTTCGGGAAACGCATTTAAAAGTCTTGAAACAGTGTTTTTGTACTATAATTAATGATTTTTATATTTCATATGAAAAACACGTGATGAGAGCGTTTAGAAATTCGAATTTATTTCTACCGTTGAAAAATTTTGATTTTCAAAAAAACCGTTAAATTACCAAACCTTTTTATATGAAATTTTTTTTGGAACAGACTGTTATTTATACTATAATTAATGCTCTTACTGTAAATTTTGGCAAGGTACTTTCAAATTCATACGACTGTTACAAAATTTGAAATTCAGAAAACCGTTAAATGATAAACTTTTTCTATATGGAAATTCATTGAAACAAATTATTAATTATACTATAGTTATATAACTAATGTTTTCGTAGTGCAACTTTTAGCGGGAAAATTTCAAATTATTTTTTGAACGTTAAATAAAAAAACCTTTCTATATAAGCATTCATTGTAATTATTTGCTAATTGCACTAAAATTAATGATCTTCAAATCTTCTAATGATCTGTAAATGAACGCAAAATAAATAGATAATCAAATACTGATCGCTAACACAAAAATGCGCTTAAGTCCCTCGATCAATAACACGAGGACTTCTGTAATTTTTTTTAATAAAAAGCTTTGCAAACAAATGAATCTTAATCGGTCCAATTTTTCGCATCTTTTTCAAAACTACTCAATGCTCTGCATCATTTATTCAAATACTCTAAAACCGTTAAACTTCAATACTAATTTTCTTAATGGATATTGAATAATCAATAAATTCGTAGTCAAGAAACTTGTTCACATTAAATTAATTAAAAATAGTAGAGAACATCTCGACCTTGCATATTGAATTTAAAAAGTTATCGAAGATTTCAAGCTAAGATCAATTAAAATTTATTGAGATAAAAAATAAATCCAAGGAGAATCGAGAAATGCGCCATCACGGCACGTCCACAAGTACACTTTATATCTACATCTTTCTAGTAAATTTTTTAAATCAACACCTCTCTTCATCTTGACGATATTGATTGTGTGAATTTTAATTAATTTATTCACAGAGCGATCAACCACCGACATCATACATCACAAGAATGCGCTTATACGACAGCATTGGAACGCAAAATCAAAATAAATTGCAATCAACGCCATCGACTCCTGGAATGTCATTGCAACAGCATCAACAGCAGCAACAACGTTTGAATATAACGAAGTTAAAGCAGAATAAAAATTATTATCGTGGTGAAGATACGAAGAATCCATATGACTATAAAAACTACAAATTCAATATGGAGCAATCATGGAATCCAGTTAATAATTATATTTACGGTCCGACTGTAAACAGCATATACAATCAGCAGCCAGATAAGGAAACATCGACTCATAGAAAATTGGAACGTATTTTGAATATTAATAGCATCAATAATCGAGATCGAGATAGGGGCGAGCGAGAACGAGATAAAGATAGAGACAGAGACCGAGGAGATAAGGGCAATAAAATTCTTAGTGATGGTTTGGAATTAGAGAAAGACTCTTATGGAAAAATGAAAAACAGACCAGAAAAGTTGTCATCAAATCGACGATTGCTTGGCGAATTCATAAACAATGAAGCACCGAAATTATGTGATCACGCCATCAACGATTATCAAACGGAAAGTATTAAGATGCGGCACTGTACGCCATTGGAGAGTTACATTAGCACTGGACGAGATATGGTATGTGTGATATGATTGTCTCATCACTATATGTTGTCTCATCGTTATTGCTTTCGGAAAGAAGAGAGGCGAAAAAGCCATAACAGTAGGATGTTATGGAACCAAGTCGTTACATCAATTTCCTTTCTTGAAAAGTTTTTTTTATAGACTTTTCGTCCTTTCTTATATCGGAAGTTTTTCTTTTCTTGTTGTGCTCCCTTTGCCTATATTCAATTCAATTGAATGATTCTTTTTTTTTTTTTTCGACTTTGTCAACAGAAATTGGAGTTTCATACAGCAACAGGAACTGCTTTATACCCGTACTCATTCTCGATAAATTATGAATTCGTTGACACCGAAATGGGTGGTGATTTGCTGAAATTCGATGAGCATAACGAGGACGATAAAAAGATGGAGAGTGAATATGCACTGTGCTCGAGAACGTTCAGGAACCGACGTGGTGAATTTCGTTCACCACGTAATGTTTTTCTCCATGGACGTGGGGGTGCGAAAAATTTGACTTGTTTGTATCGCTTTGAAGCTAACGTGGGAGAGCAGGTTAGTAGCTCAGACAGAATTATAATTAGGATCTTATTTTGTTGTTGTTGTTTTGAGGACATGACTTTATGATTTACTGATTTTTTAATGAAAAAACCTGCTTGATTTTCTGACAACGTATTTTTAAGAAATTTTAAGCAGCGAATTTGTTAATATGACGAAGATAACGAAAATTTGAAATTCAAATTTTGAGAAAAAAATGCGACTTTTCCACTTCACAAAGTTTTTGTTTGAATTAATGGTGTTAAGTTCGCCAAAACTCGAAACATTTCTTTTTATTTTACTTTTTACTTGTGGCAGACTTCAATTAACTAAGAAGAACATCTGACTTACTTTGAAAAGTTTTTTTAAAAATAAGAAATAAAATTTAAAGACATGAAATTGCGACAGCCCTGCAAAGATGATTGAGGGGTCGAAACTATGTTTTTTCTTGTAGTTTTGTAAAACTTGATTAAAAATATATGTCAAAAATAACTTATTGAATAATAAGCTTAAAAAATGATTTCAATTGCAGTGTTTTATAACTGTCAATGCAATTTTGAAACTAAAATAATTGTTTTCGTAGGAATTACCCTTTAAATTGAATAGTTTTTTTTTTCATTTTAATTGCACATTATTGCATTTATTGACGACATACTGTCCGGAAATAATTCACATTTTACACTTTTGTATTTGTTTACATATGAATTAGTTTCATCCCTTAAATTAAATAATATTCAAAACATCAATTTAATTTGTTTATTTATCGAGTTTCCTCAAATTAAACATTACAGTAAATACAGCAAAATCTAAATAAATAGATTAAAGTTATTATCGCAAGTGTTTTGAAGTATTTGCATAAAATAATGTCGAGTAAATAATATATTTAGATCAGTAAATTTACAAAATATTTATCAATTGTCAGCTATTCAATTAAGCATTAATTTAAATCAAAATTGTCAGCATTAAAATAATTTATAAAGATCTAATCCTTTGAACTATACTGAGTAAACTATTAGTTGCACCATAGTCGATAAATTGTCTCCAAAATTAAGGTAATTTGTTTTTATAGCTGCACAACCTCAAAGCCATATAATCAGTCAAACTGAAATAAATAATCGAGCTGTGTCTTTTGTAAAATCCAGCAAAAAAGGAAAAAATCTTATTACATTTATTTCTTTATCAAGAATAGCGTAAAGTTTATTGATTTTTTTTTTTGTAATGCTTTTTAGGGTAAATACTTTTGAAAATTGCACACTTTTGAAATTTGCACACTCATATGAAAATAAAAAATAAAATTTTCTCACAAAATATCCACTTCTGATAATACTTTCTTCACAAAATCTTTGTATAATTATTGTACAAATGTTGTTGTACCATTTTAAGTTGTCTAAAGGCATCAGGAAGATGAATTCCTTCAGCGATCAATTTTTCATACAAAACAAAACTTTGCAAAATATAAGGTTTTGGGATACAACCAGTGGCTTTATCAAATATTTTCATATCAAAAAATGTAGTTTAAGTTGTTTAAAATTTTGGAAGTATTTCTTTTGTGAAAGAATAAGCGGAACTGCCCAAAAAATCACTTTTAAAAAAGCTTGTTTTTTACTTTTAAAATTTGCACAAAAATTTGTCGAAACTTTTGAAATTTGCACAGTTTTAAGCGTAGGAGGTATTGAAAAATTCGATGTAAACATTAATTCTTTTGATGTAAACATTAATTTTTCGGATTCAAAACATTAATGTTTTATGCCTGAAATAAAGATAGCGATAAATGGGACTGTAGGAAAATTGAGAAAAATATTCAAGAATCATCAGCGATTAAAAACTTACCGAAAAAAGAATCAAATTTTAAAAGTAGCAAGTGTTAAATTGTTTCTTAAGGATATATCTATGATTATGCAAAGAAATGGCATTTAAATAAAATAATAATTTGCGAATTTAAATATATAATTAGTCTTTATTTAATGATGAATGATAGGAATAAAATCAGCTTAAATATGAGATATCCATTTCAAGGACTTGATTCTATAGTTTTACATATAATGGATCCTGTTTGATTTCTTGTGCTTGATTTTTGAATTTTTTTCTTTAATTTTCCTATTAATTTTCAACGACGATGCATGTGAAGATGTTAGAAAAAGAAAACAGTAATACTGTTATTAGATTTGAAAATTACCAGATGAAAATATTATTTTTTCTCCCAAAACAATAAAAACAAATAATTTTTTACATAAATTAAATACAAAAATGTCATGGATTGCTATCAAAAAAGTGTGCAAATTTTAAAAGTTTTTTGTGCAAATTTTTAAAATTTCCATGCAAATTTCAAAAGTCAAAAATAAAACGCTTATATCTCTGCTGATTTCCACAATTTTCAACAGCTCAAAAGTTTTTTAAGCCTTAACGATAATCTGTTGAAAAGTTCCAAGCAAATGAAATTTTTCATGTGCAAAGTTGTGCAAATTTCAAAAGTATTTACCCTATTTCATTTTTTTTCTTTGTATGTGAAGAAGATTATCATTTACAACATTATTATTATTTTCTCGTATTCTTCTTCTTCTTCGTTGCCATCCTCATGAATCTTATGGCTCAAAGAAGAAGGAGAAATGAAATTTAAAACGTAAGCAAAAATTGAAAAGAAGACAAAAAAAAGAAGCTTAATGATTAATTGTCTCCCATAGATTCGAATCACACTCTATAATATTTCATTTGGCGAGAGTGGATTCTGTTCGACGGAGAACGATGTACATACAGGACGACCCCGATGTCAAATACCAGATAGCACTAGTGGTATTGAATCAAATAATGTCAATAAATTGAGTAATGATGACAGTTCAAAAGTTCGTGAATTGAGAATTTATGATGTGCCCTATCCACACAGTGCGAGAGTGCAATTGGGCTGCATTTGTGATAATCAATCTATATTTTATAATCAGCCACTTACGTTCCAATCAAGCTCATCGACAATGGAATTGACATTTATAGCGACAAAATTAAATATTACAGAAGATTTTATGGATCTATATTTCTATGCATCGTACGAGACTGTTAAAGTCTCAGAGTGTAAACGGAAGCATAAGTTGACGGGAACGGGTGGCGAGGTGAAGGCATACTTTAATATACAAAATCTCGACAGTAATTGTGACGGAATGGCATGGTTGGTGGAAGCGAAGAGACTTGATCACAGCTTATTTGTTCAAACGTGGGGCACACAACTGCCACAAAATCCAACGCCTGAAGAGCTTTTCAAGTGCCAAACTAAAAATCGTCTCATCATTTATTCCGGTCATACGACGGGAGTTGTTCGTATAATTTGTCCCGCATTAAAGTCTGAGACACGACAAATGTCACTAAGAATTATGGATGAAGATTGGTTAAATTCCTCGACAATGCCTACAAAGTAAGTTTCCACATTTATCTCATTTAAATATTCACGGTATGTTTGCTTTTGCTCGCTCCCTCTGTGGATGTCGATGTGTGTGTGGGTAGACATTCGCTCTTCTGCGTTTGCTAGGCTGTCTGTCTACTTGTCTGCCTGCCTGTACAGTTCTCTGCGTAACGATCGTAAATCTTTGTGTGTCAAACTCTATAAAATATATTACATATAAAATTTATATTCGTAACTAATTGTAATAAATTATCCATTACCGATTAATTTTCCATCAGACCAATTTCGATGATTATCGAGCCAATTCTACGTGAACCCGGAAGCGTTTCATTCTCATGGATGGAAATACAACGTACAAAGGCATCACTAGTACAGCATTTAGATCAACAAACAAATTATACTGCCAATGAAACGCTTATGGAATTCGGTTTATATCCGAAAGGTGGCGATTGTGAGCACAAATGTCCTGAATTGAATGCATGTATTGCCAGTAATTTATGGTGTGATGGTAATAACAATAACAATATTAATTATGTTCGTATACATAACCTCAATTTTTTTTTATTATTTGTTCAACACGTGTTCCCAGGTTATCCAAATTGTCCATCTGGCTTCGATGAATCATCCAGTGAGTGTGGTGCAACAAGAAAATTATTGGAATTGCCAGCGAGTCTGTATGCTGCATTGGGTTGCTTAGCAGCTGGAATTGCAGCATGCCTTATATTTTGTATGGTCGGAATATCACGACGGAGAAAAAAGACCAAAGAACCGAAACAGCATCCAACACAAACAGCAATTCCTAATGGTACATATACATTACCAAAGTCAAATGGCAATACATACCAAAAGAATTCGTTGTTTTACAACAATCATGATCATGATTCCTGACATATGCTTCCACCGGTGGACTATGTGGACTATATACATGTTGATAGAGAAACCACAGGTCGGTACATTTAATTAAATTGCAATTAAAGTGACAAATACATACAGCTAATTGCTATTCAAGGGGGAACAACATAATGGGACCAGGTTTTGATGAGGAATTTTCTATATCTTTGGGATATTAATAGAAGTTTTTCATCAAAATCAATTCCCAGCATATTGTTATCCCCTTTAAAATTTGATGATTGTTTAAGGGGGAACACAGCATTGTGGGAAAAGACTTTTATGGAAAATTTTTATCGTTGAAGAGAATTTCTTATCAAAACCACTTCCCATCATGATGTTGTCCCCATTAAAATTTGATGATTGTTTAAGGGGGAATACACCATTGTGGGAACAGGTTTTTATGGAGAATTTCTATCGTTGAAAACCACTTCCCATCATGGTGTAGATTCCCTTTAAAATTTGATGATTGTGCAAGGGGGAACACAGCATTTTAGGAACATGTTTTGATGGAGAATTTATATCGTTGAAGAGAATTTTTTATTAAAACCACTTTTCATCATGGTGTAGTCCCCTTTGTTTGAAATTTGACGATTGTGCAAGGGGGAACATAACATGGTGGAAATAGATTTTGACGAAGAATTTCAATATTCCAAAGATTTAAGAATTTCTCCATTAAAACTTTTTCCACTATGTTGTTGTCCCCTTTGATAATTTAAAAAAATGATGAATTTAATTGTCACCATCATGTTGTTTTCCCCTTTGCAATTTTCATCTTATTAACATTTATTGCTCCTTTCTCGTTCACAGTGTGACCGCCGGATAGTATCCAATATGAATCGTTTTATTATGCGAACGAAAGTATTGATTATAACTCAATTTATAGTAACAATCAGCGTCAACCGAATACGTTTAGTAATAAATTAAACTATCTAGTTACAATCTTTTACATTTTCTTTTAGGCGCAATGAGGATGAATGAATGAGATATACTGTTTATTGTTATTACTTTAAATGCACAAAAAAAATAATAATAATAATGTTCTGAATGAGACTATATTTTTTAATTACATTACTACTTCCATGGAAATGAGATTTTTCCCCCGATTCTTGATATGAAATAAGATATGGGATGATGAGGAAAAGTACATTCACATTTTTAATGTATAATACATGCCTCCACATATGTATTCGACTCTAAAGGAAATTTATATGTAGACATAAAAAAATAAATTTTAAGGATGGGACGATGCTTATGAATTTGATGATTTTAACTGGATGAGATGAGTGAGGATGCCCATGATGGAAGTATGACAACAAAAAGGCATGCATATATGTAATTTTGGGAGCTAAATGAGGTAATAACAGCCTGTAGGGGATCAAAAATCATTGAAGAGTCAATTTTGGGGTTCAATTCAATATTCCATTCAAGAAGTTTACTTAAAAGTCTAGTTTGGCATTGATTGCATTGAAAATTGCTCGATAAAATACCAACTCAGCAATAGTTTTAGATAATAAGACTCGACTAGCACATTTGCTCCAAAATAACTAGCTATTTTGTGGTTTGGTACCCAATATCAGAGGAAAGGGGGTCCTTAAATGTGGGAAGGGCTAGACCAGTGCTGAACAACCTTTTTTGTGGTACGGCAAATTTAGGGAGTAATCTATGACCGAAACTGCACAAGGTTCAGGTTCCGTAGGCTTTGTTGATTTTTAAAGCTGTATACTAATGTCCCGCGGCACATAGATTGTACATCACTGGTCTACAACTTATTCAACTTACTAAGGTACGCCATTCTATTCCTAAACATCAGTTATCTTCCATAAATTAACTTTAATACCACAAAAGCATCGTCTAATCCTTAGAAAAACTCAATGTTTAACTTCAAAATGCCAATGAGGAAATAGCAATGTTTGATGTTGAAATTACGAGGCACTAAATTTAACTACATTTTCCTTATTTTTCATCCAAAGAGCTGCATCTATCCCTTATTTCCCTAGTTCAACAACATCATCATTACTATACTTATTGTCAATGGGAGTGGAAAGAGACGCGCCTCCATTAAAGTACTTCCTCATTTTCGCACTCTCTCTTACTTACACTCTATCCTCGTTAGTCATGTAATAGAAATTAATTAATGAAAGAGATGAGAATTAAAGGAGAAAGAAAATACAATGCGAATGAGTAGATATAAGTAAGAATGATTAAAGGTACTTATAGTATGTAAGGAGAGTACGTGTCGATAATCGAAAAATAATTTAAAAATGGCAACTAGTGAAAAAGCGGGAATAAAATTGACAGAAAGACTTTTGAGATGTGGCACGAGAAGAAAAATTAGTCATTTCCTTTGCACGTCCGAAAACATTTTTTTATATGCAAAAATAATTCTCAACGGAAAATGTCAAAAAAGGAGAAACTTTTCGTCGCGAACTGAAATGGGAATGTAAAGTTTAATCTAGGAAAGTCGACTGGAGGAACTGAAGAGATGAAATTTGTGTGAAAATTATTAGAGACGATAGGAAAATAAGTTTGTGAAAATGTCACCAATAGTTGGTGGTTTAAAGACGCATTCTTAAAGCTTCACACTTCGGGACTTTGAAGTATCGAATTTTGAAGGAATTGTACGGTTCTCACCTGTGCACAGGTGCCTGTGTCGCAACCATGCTTCAAAATGGCCCCAAACAATTCCACATCTTCCCAATTTCAGAGATTATCTTAATATAAGGCTAATATTCAGCCAAGCGACAGCACCAAAGTGTCTAAATTCAGCTCTTGTCCTTGTGAAGCAACGCGCCAGAAATAGTTTTTCCCTTTAATCGTCGATAACTAAATGTATATGTACATATATAATAAAATAGTGGAAAAATAATAATTTTCTTTGATCATGAAAGTCTATAATAGTAAGAATGAATGAAATTTTACGGTGCAGTAACTACGCGCGCTTATGAACATTAGTTAAATTGTTAATTCATGTGGAAAATGATTCTTTTTCCTCTTTGTTTCTCGTTCCTTTTTGTGGAATAAAAAAATACTGAAAATCATTTGACCCGAATTTCATAGCCTTCCTTTTATTGACTGCCAATTGAACATGCTATATTGTTAAGGTTGTTCTGTCACACATTTATATATTTGATGAAACATAAATTTTAGTTGTTACACCCTCTCAAGAATTATTATGTATAAAAAAAGAATATGTACTTTAGGTATTGAACATGAATTTTTAAAATTGAAAGCTTTAATGATGATTAAAAAAATTTGTTGTGGAAAATTTTAACCTTTTAAATTGTGGGGGACTTTTTTTTGGAGGCAGGATTAAAATTGATTTTTTTTTGTTCATTAAAATCGCTGAAAATAGAGAATTTAAATTTTTTACTTAAGATTTTGTAAATTAAAAATCAGTTAAAATCCTTCAAGTGTTTATTTTAAGAACCATACAAAAGTTTCATAAATTCAAGAATTTGTACGGTGAGTTTTCTCCCGACCTCCGAACAACGAGGTTGTGGAATTGTCAATTTTCCATAATTTAATTATTTACGCGTAGGAACCAGACAGCAAATATAGTTTAAAGTGCATACAAATAACTAAGGAACAGATTAACAAAGGAGAAAACTCAAAAAAGTCGCGATTTAGTTAAATTTGGAGAAACTTTGGAATTGAACATAAAAGGTGCAAATTTTTGCACATAACCAATACAAAATATAAAACGGAATTGATCATCATCGGAATACCAACGAACATTTAATTACATTGACAAATCACGATCGGCGGCAGTTGTGAGGAGAATCAATTGTTTCACGTGGGTTTTTTGTGTTTTACCAACAATCGTGGACAAGAAGGTTCTATCATAACCATAACCTAGACATATTGAAAATTATTGGAATACAACGGATTATCGTCAATTGTGAGGAGAATTTGTCTCGCGATGGGTTTTGTGTGTTTCCCCATATATCGCGGGCAATTCTATCAATCAATTGGTGCTGACTGGATTTCAACAAATCAACATTGACAAACAGGAATCGATCATCTCGGAATACAGCAGATCATATTAATTAAATTGACAGATCACAATCGAGACATAAGATAAAATTGAATCTATTTGGAATATCACAAGTTAAATTACAAGGACTGTCAAGGGATCTGGATCATCGACAACTGAAGATGGAATTTTTTGCCTAGCGATGGTTTTTTGTTGTTTTGACTTATCGCGGGCATGTTTTCTGTCAACCATTTGGAGTTGACTGGATTTTATTGATTGTTCTTTGTGTATATTTGTAAATTAAACTACCTGGAATTGTGAACGGTCTTTAAATAGCAATAAGCTGATGGACCATAATAAAGTTAATTAAGAAGAAGAAGAAGAATTTGTACGGTTTTCAAAAACCAAACCAAATCAAAAACCATCAATTGTTTGAGTTTAAAAAAACCATTAAAATGTTTAAGCTTCAGAACCATACAAAAGTTTTTGGAAATTTAAGAATTTGTATGGTTTTTACTTTTTATAAATTCAGTAAAAACATTCAAATGTTTAAGCTTGAAAACCATACAAAAGTTTTAAGAATTTGTAAGGTTTTGAAGTTCAAAATTCAAAAATTCAGTTAAAAGTATTCAAATAATCAAATAATCTAAAACCTTACAAATGTTTTCTAAGGAATTGAAGTGTTTTATTTTCATAAATTTCAAATTCTGTCATTTTAAATCCCTTTTTATCAAAATTTCAATTCCATTTCATTAAAAAACAACTTTTTTATTACACAGAAAAACTTGTAACGGTTGCTTTTGGATAAATTTATACATAAAATGAGAGAAAAATTCATGTTTCAAATGAAACTTTAATGTGCACATAATGATGATGTATATTACACACAAAAAAATATAAAAATATAAAAAGTTTTTAAAAAAATTAAAGAATGAAAACTGAGAAAAATGTTCATAATAAAATAAAAGGTAAAAAATTCACTAACTAGGTAAAATGATGAGAATGAATAAATTTCAAATTTGCACGCATCAGCACTTTCTTCTACGTCATGAGACACACAAAAAGATGAAACAATACAGGATTCTCTTTTTTAATGAACGAATGTGAAATTAATTTAAATTAATATTTTCCTCATTTCCGAATTTTCAGTGTCATTTTCCTCATAAACAATATGCTTTGATATTCATTTTGACTCACTTTTGTGCATATGGAAATAATATGTAAATTGAGTGCTTAATTTTATTACATTTCCTATAATTTTCATGAAATATTCATGATCAATGTTAAGCTTTGAGCTTGATACTTATTGATTTTTCCTTCAAAAAAGTTACAACTTTCGAGGAAGTAATCTAGAGCAAAGAATTAAGAACTTTTTTCTTTATACTTTTTTTGATAAGGATTTAGCAATGCTTGTGATTCTTTTTAAGACTTGAAGTTGTGTTTTCGTTTGAATTCAAAATTCATTCATTAATTATTAAATTTGTTTGGAAGTTGCGAGTTGATTTCTTAAAGCTTTTATTAAAGATGAATTTCTTGAGTTCCTGAGTCCTGATCGATTGAAAACCCAGGAAAATGCGCTGAAATAATGTTAAATGCCGACTTTTTATACCTATTTATATGAATGGGAGATTTTGGAGATACTTACTTTTTTTTAAGTAAAAGTTTTAATGACATTTGAAAAATAATGAAATAATAAATTATGAGCATCATTATCATATGAAAGAAATTTCTTTTCTGTTACTTTCGAGACTAATTCACTCATTCTGGAAAATACAAGAAAGTAAATACCTAAATTAGAATTTAGAAAATAAGAAAATGCCACAGAATTTTAAATTAAAAACATGAAAAAGTATAAAGATAAAGTCTCACTTTTTTCAAATGATAAGTATTAATATTAAAAACCACAGACATAATGAAAAACTGTATAGGAAGTGATTGTAAAATGACATGAAGCAGAGAAACTGTTAATAATAAAAACGAAAAAAATATTTCAAATTAATTAATTTGCATTTCTTTTGATTTATTATACTTTTCAGTTCTGCGACACACCCACAACTGATGGACGAAGGATGACACAAAGTGCTCAGTACAGTAATTAATTAGAGCTTATTCGAACATCCCCAATAGTTCCAAAAGCTGTAATTATCACTGTAGATTGTAATCATGTCTTTTGACTTCCTGCTATGGCATTTTCTGCCTCCATAAGAGCTCGTTTACGTTTTCTATGATTGACGACCATCTCAGATGTTTTTATGTTCACTGTACTTTCTTGCAGCCATTCAGAGAACTGAAAAGTAATGAGAGGCAGTTGATTAGGTCAATGACTGAATAAGAATCCTTGCTTTAATTTTGTTTGATTTTCAAGGTTGAATTTCATTTTTCGAGAGCCGTACAAATGTTTGAGAAAAATTGGCTTTTGTAGGGTTCTGACAATCAAATATCAAATGACGGTTAATTTCAAAATATTAGAACCATACAAATGTTTTCAAATAGTTTGACTTTTGTAAGGTTTCAAAGATTGAAATTCGAATGATTATTGACTTTTTGGAGATCTGTAACATCAATTTAAGGAAATAACTCTGCAGATCTAATCAATGCAGCCCTCAAATCGTAACAAAATTCGAACAAAGTACAAAGGAGCAATTAGAAAACCTACCTTTTTGTTCGTCTTAGATCCCTCGAGAAATAAATGGTACTCAATATGATCTAGCCGGCTCTCATTTCTCTGCTCATTGTTAATGTTGTTACACAAATCCTTTAAATACTTCATTCTCGAACGACAAGTCTAAAATAAATTTATGTAAATTAGATTCTCTTTGATTATGGATGGGGAAAAAGGAGAGACATCCTTAACATCATTTGTCCCTTTTTATTATTACTAATGTTCTCACCTCATAAATCATTCTGCCGACGAAACCGTTTCGGTCAAAATGTGATACATATCGTCCTAGTTCGTAAAAATGCTTATTAAGTTTTCCTAAATCAACAGCCGTTGCATCAGCTTTACAGATCTCACTGTAAGTTGATTTGTAGATGTTTGGAATTTTAACACTATTTAAGAAAGGGATAAGAATCATAAATTTTGATGCTTTATGTAAACAGTATCCATTCAAGTTTGCCTTACTCATAAAACTGATTTCTTCCTCTCTCCTTTTGCACTTGAAGGATATACCATAGTGGTAGCTGAACCTCTTGATTTGCTTTTAAATCTGTTGACGAATGTGATTGATCCAAGAATCCAAGATTGCTTAATTCCTGCGATGAAGATAAATTGTGAATTAAATTGAATTACTTTTCAGATTCTTCACTTTTACCTGTTCTGTTATGCACGGGATCTTCTCCTGTGTCACAATTATGTCGTCGATTGAGAAGTAATTTGGATAGTATGTCCTTTTCATTTTAATAAAGCTATTCTTTTTAAATATCTATTGTTTATGTTCACTGGAAGATAAATTTTGCTTATTATGCTGTTATTGCTGGGTTTATTGGTGTTATTCTTACACTATCTCATAGATGCTTTATCTAGTTGTTATTCAAATTAATTTAATTAATTTTACACTGTCTAATCACTGAGATAAATTAATATTTCCTTTATTTTTAACAGCTGTTGTTTACAAACTGACAATTTGAGATTCTGAGAAGTTGCATGCCCATGTCAGTTTCTACCACGTGAAGTTAGCTTCAGAATTTCGAATTTTTTAAGACCGTTCGGGCTTCTAGTGAATCTGACTGCAGCTATGTGCTTTATAAGGCTTCTGGCAAAATATCAGCTTGACTGAGTTAAAATTGGCTTCAGGAAACGGGAAGAACGAGGCATACGAAGACTCGACACATGCATTTTAGCGAAGAACTGCTCGTTTGAACAATGCTGTCACATCCATTTATGCTGATCGAGATCTAATTTGTGATCTTAAAGATCAAAATAAGCAGCTCAAAAAGATGAATAAGATACTCGAGTAGCCTTACAAGTACCCCTAATATTTCCTCCTATCCTTCATAATCTTATCAATGTCCAACAACTCTCAATTAATGAACAAAAAACTGAGTCTAATGCCTCTGTATCGATAGATTCTCATTTTTAAGGTGTTGCAGCTTATATTGTAAATTATGTAGATACCGCACCTTTAAACAATTTATTAGAAATTAATTCAATGGGAAATTCTTTTTTTGCTCTCTATATTATCTAATAGATGGATAGGGAGGAATGACTGACTAAAGGTGACATTTTAGTCACCTATAGAATTTTTCTTGGGTTAAAATATGGTTGATTAATTTAATAGATATTATTTTGAGTGCCTAATTAATTTAATGTTAAGGATCGATATTTCTAGTTTCAAAGTCAGGAAGGTTTGGCATTGAAAAAAGGCTTATTTTGGTTGAATAAAGCAAAGATCGATGCGCATTTTTAAAGGCTTTAAGTTGATCATGCTGTAAAAGCAATTTCCATCTTGGATAAGACAATAATCCACTCAAGTCATTCATCTATGTTGACAATTGACAGTTTTAAAATAAATTCACAACCAAAAGCAGTGAATTTTCCACATTTAAATTGTGCAATTCCAAAATCAGCACAACAAACCACTTGAAAATGCATCTTAGTCAAGCTGTTGAAATTTATGTACTGTGGATTTAAAATTTATTTATGAATTTTTGTTCAACATCCCACTCCATCCTCCTTAATTTTTTTTTCCAGTCGCAGACACTACTGAGTGGATTTTTAAAAAAAAATTTATTTCCGTATGTGGTTCTTGCCTTTTAAGCCTCTCTGTTCAAGAGAAATGGAAAATAAATTTTCAGGAAATGCTTGTCGGCAGATTTTTATGTACACAGAGGAGAACGAAAAAAAATTTTTTAAGGAAGATTGAGAGGACGTCTACATTTATGGATGTAGAAAGATTGTGATTTAATTTCATTTTGGGATTTTTGTACATTGACAATAAATTGAAGAGGAGATGACTTTATGTGATTGGGACACACTCGGGCTGCAGCTTTAAAGTTTTTTGTTCCTGTCCGTACTTTGTCAGTCTGTCCATTATTGGATATGGACACAAATTAGGATTGTCACTTATGCTTCTATCCATAAAATGCGCTCTTAGTCAGTCACAACTGACCACTTTTGTGCCAATTTGTGTTGTCTTATTGGCGGAGCTGGTCCGAGCAAGAAATTGAAAATTTATCACGATTAATCCAAATCATGTTTTTCTACTGTTCGGACATGCTTTAATTTTATTGCTCCGCAATTTACGTGCACAATTCCGATGCAATTTTTGTATCGTAAAAAATATTTTTATGGATTCTCCCATAAAAACGTATAATATTGGTCCGTTTCTGGAACCTTTCGTACTGATGAAGAATTTGCTTCTCATGTTTGGCTTTATTTGGTCAATTAGCTTCCGCGTGGAACACGGAAGGTGTTTCTTTATGTCGGTCAAATTTTGTCACCTAATAATAATAATGTGTGTGAAGGGTTTATAGTGGGATCCGAACCACTTGCAAGCTCTGCACATTGCAAAGACACGAGTACGTCATAAGACTTGAATGTACCTAGTCACAATCCGTGTGCGCAAGATGCCGTAAGGAAGTCATCCAGATGCTAGTATATCCTTGTATATCTAGCAAAGGAGGCATATTTTATGCCAAAGACATCAATACTACACCCAGCACACGAACCGAGCTCCGTAACTAGAACGGTGAAATTGAAAAAGAATACAAACACTATATTTGCTCTAATTTTTTTTAAAGCTTTAAATCAAAAAATAGCTGGTAGTTTAAATGTTTTATATTTTCTTAGGAATCGATTGACACCAAAATCATAATATTTGGTTCTAGTCCTGATCCAGTAGATCGAAAAAACTAGCTTTTTTGGAGGCATAAATTAAAGTTGTTTTGGTGCACTTGTTTTAGAGAATTAATAGATGAAACATTTTTTGTAATGTAGGGCCCAAAAAGACCTATCCAACAATACTAAAGATGCCCCACTTTCATCAACACCTGCGTAGATATAACGATTTCAATATATAATTCTTATTTTTCGAAAATCGAATCTTCGAAGTTCTTATTTTTAAAAAAATTCGTTGTGAATTATTATTTTTCGAGTAATTTGTAATTTTAGTGAACATTCCTACTAGTTTTCATGATTAAGATAATCACTGTGATGAAATTGCATTCCTTAAATGTTTATGCTTTAAAAAGCAGCTAGTTTTTTAAAAAAAATAAAAAGTAACGGACTTTCTTATTTTGAAATTTTTAAAAAAATACCGCGCGAAAATTTTGAATTTTTTTGTTCGTAACGGACTCTGTTCTCTTTGCTAACATTGGAAAAATGGTTTAAAAATTTGTCACCCAACCTACAGCTCGCAAGTTAAAATCAATCATATTGATAAGTATATCAATAAAAAGCTACAAAGGTCTAGTAGGAATCTTCTTAGTTCTCGAGATATAGTGAAAATAGTGTTTAATCTGATGGATTATAAATAAATCCAAAAGATTAAAAATTAAATCAGCGATATCTCCAAATTTTCAAATCCATTTTTTCCGTGTGATATCTTAAATTAAAGGCAATAAAGAGGAGAATAATCGACCATAAAAAAGGTTTTCACTTTATTTGGTTTTGAGTGGGTTTAAGAAATATTTATGTAAATCTTGATTTAAAATTAAAATTGCATTTTAAAACATATCTAGGTATTATAAATGATAAAGAATGCTAAAATAGACATAAAATCGATATTTTTTTGAAAATAGCCTGCTATGATCGAAACCAAAAATGCTTTAAATTGCATTTTAAAACAAATCTAGGTATTATAAATGATTAAGAATGCTAAAAAAGAAAAAAAATCGATATTTTTTCGAAAAGAGCCTTCTATGATCAAAATCAAAAATGCTTTAAATTGCATTTTAAAACAAATCTAGCTATTTTAAATGATAAAGAATGCTAAAATAAACATAAAATCGATATTTTTTTGAAAATAGCCTACTATGATCGAAACCAAAAATGCTTTAAATTGCATTTTAAAACATATCTAGCTATTATAAATGATTAAGAATGCTAAAATAGACATAAAATCGATATTTCTTTGAAAATAGCCTACTATGATCGAAACCAAAAATGCTTTAAATTGCATTTTAAAACATATCTAGCTATTTTAAATGATAAAGAATGCTAAAATAAACATAAAATCGATATTTTTTTGAAAATAGCCTACTATGATCGAAACCAAAAATGCTTTAAATTGTATTTTAAAACATATCTAGGTATTATAAATGATAAAGAATGCTAAAATAGATATAAAAGCGATATTTTTTTGAAAATAGCCTACTATGATCGAAACCAAAAATGCTTTAAATTGCATTTTAAAACATATCTAGCTATTATAAATGATTAAGAATGCTAAAATAAACATAAAATCGATATTTTTTTGAAAATAGCCTACTATGATCGAAACCAAAAATGCTTTAAATTGCATTTTAAAACATATCTAGCTATTTTAAATGATAAAGAATGCTAAAATAAACATAAAATCGATATTTTTTTGAAAATAGCCTACTATGATCGAAACCAAAAATGCTTTAAATTGTATTTTAAAACATATCTAGGTATTATAAATGATAAAGAATGCTAAAATAGATATAAAAGCGATATTTTTTTGAAAATAGCCTACTATGATCGAAACCAAAAATGCTTTAAATTGCATTTTAAAACATATCTAGGTATTATAAATGATAAAGAATGCTAAAATAAACATAAAATCGATATTTTTTTGAAAATAGCCTACTATGATCGAAACCAAAAATGCTTTAAATTGTATTTTAAAACATATCTAGGTATTATAAATGATAAAGAATGCTAAAATAGATATAAAATCGATATTTTTTTTGAAAATAGCCTACTATGATCGAAACCAAAAATGTTTTAAATTGCATTTTAAAACATATCTAGGTATTATAAATGATAAAGAATGCTAATGTAGATATAAAATCGATATTTTTTTTGGAAATAGCCTACTATGATCGAAACCAAAAATGCTTTAAATTGTATTTTAAAACATATCTAGGTATTATAAATGATAAAGAATGCTAAAATAGATATAAAATCGATATATTTTTTGAAAATAGCCTACTATGATCGAAACCAAAAATGCTTTAAATTGTATTTTAAAACATATCTAGGTATTATAAATGATAAAGAATGCTAATGTAGATATAAAATCGATATTTTTTTTGGAAATAGCCTACTATGATCGAAACCAAAAATGCTTTAAATTGTATTTTAAAACATATCTAGGTATTATAAATGATAAAGAATGCTAAAATAGATATAAAATCGATATATTTTTTGAAAATAGCCTACTATGATCGAAACCAAAAATGCTTTAAATTGTATTTTAAAACATATCTAGGTATTATAAATGATAAAGAATGCTAAAATAGATATAAAATCGATATTTTTTTTGAAAATAGCCTACTATGATCGAAACCAAAAATGCTTTAAATTGCATTTTAAAACAAATCTAGGTATTATAAATGATTAAGAATGCTAAAAAAGAAAAAAAATCGATATTTTTTCGAAAAGAGCCTTCTATGATCAAAATCAAAAATGCTTTAAATTGCATTTTAAAACAAATCTAGCTATTTTAAATGATAAAGAATGCTAAAATAAACATAAAATCGATATTTTTTTGAAAATAGCCTACTATGATCGAAACCAAAAATGCTTTAAATTGCATTTTAAAACATATCTAGCTATTATAAATGATTAAGAATGCTAAAATAGACATAAAATCGATATTTTTTTGAAAATAGCCTACTATGATCGAAACCAAAAATGCTTTAAATTGTATTTTCAAACATATCTAGGTATTATAAATGATAAAGAATGCTAAAATAGATATAAAAGCGATATTTTTTTGAAAATAGTCTACTATGATCGAAACCAAAAATGCTTTAAATTGCATTTTAAAACATATATAGGTATTATAAATGATAAAAAATGCTAAAATAGACATAAAATCGATATTTTTTTGAAAATAGCCTACTATGATCGAAATCAAAAATGCTTTAAATTGCATTTTAAAACATATCTAGGTATTATAAATGATAAAGAATGCTAAAATAAACATAAAATCGATATTTTTTTGAAAATAGCCTACTATGATCGAAACCAAAAATGCTTTAAATTGTATTTTAAAACATATCTAGGTATTATAAATGATAAAGAATGCTAAAATAGATATAAAATCGATATTTTTTTTGAAAATAGCCTACTATGATCGAAACCAAAAATGCTTTAAATTGTATTTTAAAACATATCTAGGTATTATAAATGATAAAGAATGCTAAAATAGATATAAAATCGATATATTTTTTGAAAATAGCCTACTATGATCGAAACCAAAAATGCTTTAAGTTGCATTTTAATTGCAATAATAATAATAATAATTTTAAAACATATTAGCTTCCGCTTGGAACACGTAAGGGTTTTCTTTATGTCGGTCAAATTTTGTCACCCAACCTACTAGTAGAGCGGAAATTATGTTGCTTTGTATGAACTTTTTTTTTGAGACCGTAGTGCTTGATGGAAGATTTTCGCGAAAGCTCCATACAAACACTATATTTGCTCTAATTTTTTTTTAAAGCCTTAAATCAAAAAAAGCTGGTTGTTCAAATGTTTTGCATCTTCTTAGGAATCGATTGACACCAAAATCATAATGTTTGGTTCTAGTCCTGATCCAGTAGATCGAAAAAACTAGCTTTTTTGGAGGCTTAAATTAAAGTTGTTTTGGTGCACTTGTTTTAGAGAATTAATAGATGAAACATTTTTTGTAATGTAGGGCCCAAAAAGACCTATCCAACAATACTAAAGATGCCCCACTTTCATTTACACCTGCGTAGATATAACGATTTCAATATATAATTCTTATTTTTCGAAAATCGAATCTTCGAAGTTCTTATTTTTAAAAAAATTCGTTGTGAAATATTATTTTTCGAGTAATTTGTAATTTTAGTGAACATTCCTACTAGTTTTTATCAGTTTTTATGATTAAGATAATCACTGTGTTTAAATTGCATTCCTTAAATGTTTATGCTTTAAAAACAGCTAGTTTAAAAAAAAATAAAAAGTAACGGACTATCTTATTTTGAAATTTTAAAAAAATATCGCGCGAAAATTTTGAATTTTTTTTGTTTGTAACGGACTCTGTTCTCTTTGCTAACATTGGCAAAAATGGTTTAAAATTTGTCACGCAACTTAAAATCAATCATATTGATATGTATATCAATAGAAAGCTACAAAGGTTTAGTAGGAATCTTCTTAGTTCTCTTAGTACTTGAACTTGAAGGATCACTCAAAAACTTCATTCCTTGTAGGAACACGATGAACATAAAGATTGTTCCCTAAAATTTCCATTTCCAAAAAAGAGCATTAATAATTCACATCAAATTACTTCCGTTCCTGCCTTTTCAAGGTATAAAAATTTAAATACCGTATATTAAGTGCTATAATAATTTTTAAACAAATTTTTTTTATGTGAACATACATCATCAAGTGGCTGAATATTTATTACACATTCCATTAAAATTTAGAATGATTCCTCACTCATATCTGTGCCTTCTTAATCTCTTTCCAACTCTCGACTCGTAAAATATTTAAGAATTTTTTACTTCTCTTTTTTTCGGGCAATGAAAAAAAAAAGTAATTGCATGAAATTTATCTTCGATTGAAAAACGCAAAGAATTTTTAATCACAGGTTCCTTTGTTTAAGCTACAGTGTATGTATATTTAAAGCACCAGCGAGAGAGAGCTTATAGCTTAAAATTAATGAGGTTTTGTATATTTCTCTCATTCTCGTTCATCTTAATTGCGATTCTTTTCTCATATAAATTCACAGAACAGTCTACCGGGGTTGTTTTCATTAATGACGTCACAGAGGGGAAGTATGAGAAATTTTCAAAGCTTTTTTTCTCAGAACCCTAGCATTTTCAGTGAGATCCCTTAGTCTGGGTCTGATAGACTCCATTTAATCAATAAGGAGATACATATGAAGGGAAAAGACGCCCAGGAGCTCTAAAAACTACTTGGCGCAGAACAGTAAAGAATGTCAGCTTAATGTGCGGACAGAGAATATGTACAAACTTGCAACAGAGTCAGATGTAAAACCTTTTGTTGTAACCTAAGCTCCACATAGGAACATGGTTACAGTAAGTAAGTAAGCTAGAATATAGCCATTTAAATAATAGACGTCATTTATGTCCAATTCCCACGATGTTTTAATTTAAGAACAATTTTTTTCTCTCTCTTAAACCGTTCAAGGAAGTATGAAGGAAAGGATTTATTGTATTCTACTAATTTTCAGTGATCTATATTATGAATTTAAAATAGGAAGACTGTAATTACTTACCGTAATAAAAACTGAAAGACTCTGTGTTGGAACTTAGTTTATAACATACAGCAATTTTAAAGCTAAGCTCATCATTTTTAATGTCTTAATAATACGATGGCAAAGGGAATTTTTTATGAAGCAGTTTGTGTTTGCTTGCAAGAATTAATCACACAAAGTTTCAAAGCTCTATGAGTTGGATTTATGGTTTTGGAGCATTTAATGAATTTTATAGATTTGAATCTTTTTTGCATCACTTTTTAATACGTCAGACAGGGTAGTTTTTGCAAGGAAATGGATGAAAATGTGAATTTATTGATGATATATTCTGCGTCTTTACATAAATTTGCGTCTTTTAATCCAAACGTTTACACCTTTTAACATTTCGCGTTTTTAATTCAAAAGTTCGCTTCTGTTGAGACAAAAATTTACATCTAATGATGCAAAGGTTGGCATCTAATGATGCAAAAGTTCGCATCTAATGATGCAAAAGTTTGCATCTGTCGATCCAAAAGTTCGCTTCTGTTGATGCAAAAGCTCACATCTAATGATGCAAAAGGTCACACCTAATGATGCAAAAGTTCGCATCTGTCGATCCAAAAGTTTGCATCTCTTGATGCAAAAACGGAATTGCTTTAACTTATTCAAACTTTGCATTCTAACTTTCTTATCAATTGATGCATCATTTTGCATCAGTTGATGCAAACTTTTGCATCAATTGATGCGAGTTTTCGCATCAACAACCTCAAAATTGTCAATTAAAATCATCATTGTTCTTTCGAACTGTTTATTGAGTATGATATGCTTTGATTAATAGAATTATTAGTTTAAAAATCATCTACTCATTGGTTAAGAGATCAAGCAACATAAAATTTAATAGAATTTGTAAAACTTTCAAGCCAAACTCATCAATCAAAATCATTTCAATCCAAAAAACCATTGAAGCAGCTTTAAATCAACTTTTAAACATCATCCTGTGTCTACAGCAATAAACACCTGAATTGTAATTAAATTTAATACGAAACCAACATGTTCACGAACCTGAAATGAGGACAACAGAATGAGAACTGACAATACGATTACACAGGAGATTTTAAATGATAAATTAGTGAAGTATGAAACGGAAAATTAAAATATCACCTCTGCAACTTTTATTTTAATGACATAAAGCACTTCATAAAATATCATAATGGTCAGTAACCTCCCAGGATGAATAGAGAGGTTCACAAGCGTACAATGTGATGGAAATATGATGAAGCATTTGATGAGAATAAATTTTATGCCAAACACATAGACACACAATTTTATTTATATTTTATGGACATACTGCATTTGTATTGTAATGTTAAACAAAAAGATAATATTCTCATGACACATTCACATGATTAAGGATTCATAAAATGTTTCATTACAATATAATTCCTAATAAATTAAGCAGCACTTTATGGTTCTTCACATAATATGACATGGTTTATGGACGAATCACACGAAATATATCATGTTGTAGGAAGAAGCTACCCTTTTGTGGCTTGTAAATGAATGTCTGTGTATAAAGATGATCCGGTTTCGTATTTTCATGGATTTTCCCGATGACTTTTATGACGACGCCTCCATCATGCAGAGGTTGAGTGTCAATTGATGAAATATTTCTTTGGAGATTTTTTAATTTCAACTTTTGAAATTTTTCCAAGATTTTCTTTGTTCCTCGATATCGTTCGCCCTCGAATGTCATGAATGAGTCGTCCGGATGATATAATGCGACGAGTGATAGACGCTTTTTGGGATCATCGAATAATGAGTAATATTGTGAAACGTAAATCCTTCCCAATTTATCGAAATCCTTATTTAAAATTCTTAAGTCGTCTTCATAATTCTCTGTTGTTGTGGCTGTTTCTGTGTGGGATGGTGGAATATTTTTTTTTGTGGATATCAGTATCGGTTTATAGCAGAGGCGTAGTCAGAAATTTGAAGAGGGGGGGGGGGGTATATAGAAAATTTATCGGGGGGGGGGGGGGGGGTTAGGATTTTTTTCATAAAAATCTTAGCAAAATTAAGAAATTTCTGTTAAAGTTTGGGAATTTGCCCCCCCCCCCCCTCCCCCCAGGGTACGCGCGCATGGTCTTTAGTCAATTTATTTTCAAATAGGGGGAAGTTGATTCTCAGTTTTTAAATTCAAATTTTTTAAAGAATGTTAAAGACAAATTTTGAAAAAAACTCTGAATAACCAAGTTGATGTCTCCTAGATATCAATCATATACAACCCCCTGTTTGCAACCCTTAACAATATTTTTACCATCATCTTCGTCTATCAAAAAATCATTAACTGCTGTTGTGTATTCTTCAATTATCTCAATACTATAGTCTTCATCTGGTATAATGGTTGTCGTATCTAATCCATAGATTGTAGTGAAAAACAATTGCAAGAAACAGTAACAATAAAGTATCGACATCCTTTATCTCTGACAGATGAGAAAAAATAAAATTATCTTTGATCTCGAAAATATTAACTGACTCAGTATTGAATTTAATTATTTTTTATGCTCAACTTTTCATTAAAAAATAATTCCTTTCCTTCTTCACGCTAGCTTCTTAAATTGGAACTTTTTATTCTTTTCTCGGAAAATAACAAAAAAAAAAGTTTTCTCTTCGGTCTTCTTTTTTTTTCTCGCCAGCACCAACAAACTTTTTTTGATAATTTTCTTTCTTCCTCAATGTCTTAACACTGCAAAAACTTAAAAGCGAATGAAGTCGGAATATACTTTGAGTCTTTCTTTTTTTCGGGGTTCTCGCTGAAAAAAAAAGTGTAAGGCATTCAAAGAATCCAATTATAACTGTATCAATGTGAAATGATTTTTTCTCTTCTTCTTTTTTTTAAAGAATGAACTCGTTCTTTGCAATTTTGTAGCATGCTTCATGGTGATATTAAGAGACTTTTTTGCATGCTTTTGCCAATTTAAAATGAGCAACTTTATCGGTGGTGTTTGGTATGTTTCTTTTGAATTGGGAGAAAAATCAAGGGGGAATACAACATGATGGGAAAAAGTATTGAAGGTTTGAGACGTGTGTCACATCCAAGGTAAGAAGGTGGTCATTAAAATATCAACGTCATTTATCAATCAGCTACAGTCGAAAATCACACAAATTTAACTTAATTTATAATCTAAATCTCCACAAACATGAGAACTTGAGAACTAACATTCACAACATCTAGAAGAAGCGACAAAAAGAAACTGAAAAGCGCTAAAGTCATCAACATCTACTGACCTGCAACATTCTCTTATCTCTTTTTCTTCATGCTCAAATTCTTATCGGAATTTTTGTTATTTTCATTTCTTGGCTATATCCATAGCAATTTCTAATTGTGATAGCGATTGTGCAATCTTTTCGCCTTTTTTGGCACTCAATTTCTTAACTTTTTTTCTCCTTCTTCTTATTTTAACATTTTTCAAATTGAAAAAGTTTATGTTTGCCACTGCAATAAAACTCAAAATGAAACGATGACTTCGTGTACACAGTTGGCATAAAGAAGAGAAACAAGACTTATGTGGAGAGCCAGTAACTTCCACAGCTTGTTCGAAGTAACTATTGAATGATAATAAGGGGCCGTTCAATTATGACGTCCGAAATTAACGGTCATTTTTCAAAAACGAACAATGAATTCCCAGGAATTTCTATTGTTATTTTCTGTCTGGACCCCCCCCCCCCCCCGGACGTTATAAGTGAATGGCCCCTAAAGCAAATTAGACGATTCGTAATGAACAAACACACAACAAAATGCTTCAATGTGATCAATGTGTTCAGTAAAGTTTCCGAAAACAATCAATGGAGCTTGGCATCAAATTTAGAGAATGACGACAATAAAATGAACCAGAAAATAGATATTCTGACAAAAACCAATAAATTACACGCTTTCATTCTTTTGCACGGAAGTTAAGAATAAGAAGGAAAACCGGGAGAAGCTTTATGTCCAGTGTGAGCTTTTCTTCTTTTCGTTTTTGTAAGAAAAGTTTTTTTCTCTTGTGAAACCGTAAATGTATAAAGATAGTAAGTGACACATAAATGTCTTAGCTTAAAAAAAAGTCAAGAAAAGTTGGATTTTTTGCAATATTGAGCAAATAAAAATCAATGATGATATTGTGTATACTCGGACCGAGACAATACAATGATCATTTATCATTTTGAGGATTTAAATTATTTACTTGGGAGTTGTTCATGAATGATGTCTAATTTTTAAAGGCGAGGAGGCTACTTCAAAATAACATTTAACTTTTCTGAAAGAGAGTTCAGTTTTTGGTACACATCATTTCTTAACGACCCTCATGTTCTTTTTTGTATTCAAAAACTTTAGCTTAAGGCAAATGAAGAAATCTGCAACTTTTAATTCAGACATTTTCATTTAAATTAAGTCAGTTGGATGTTGTGGCCTTCATAAAGTTTTAATTTAGTCTGCAAAAATTTCATCATGAACTTGCAACCTTGACGATGTTGATGGACATTCCAATTTTCTCGGTGTTTGTTTTTCGATAAGAATTTAAAAAGTGAGTGCAAATTTTGAGTTCCTTACAAAAATTGAGATTTTAAGAGCTGCCTTAGAAGGCACTGTTCTAGATCTTCTTAATTTACAAATGCACAAAGCGTTTCATGAATTTCTCGGAAGTGGAAATTCTTGATGTTTTTTGATCAGCTCCATTGTTAGTAGCAAGAGTTCCGAGCAGATCAATATAGTTAATTGACTTTTGATTAGTTTCAAATCTTTGATGCAAATTTTCCGTTCAACTTTTCGACAATATCCAGTAAATTTAACAAACAAGATCTGAACCTAAGTTTCATAAATCTCCTTGTAGTAATCAGACTAGTTGCCTACTTTTTTGAAGATTCATTCAATAAGGAAAAGGACAAACTCATCTACTAAAGAAATTCCGAATTCATCCTTAAAATAATCCAAACGCAATAAAAATAACAGCTTAAAAATTCATAACAAGTTCCATAAAGCAAATCTAAACAGCGCAATACAAACAACAGAACAAGACAAAATCAATAAAAACAACAAAATGACAACAATGTTTTGAGAATAAATAATAAATATCTAAATGTTTATTTTTGCTTCATGATTAAATCATCTCCTCATTACAATCATAATAAAAGCTTATTTAAATTCTGTTTTTCTTTCCTTTCTATTCATCAAAAAGCAGATCCCATACATTCAATGAATATTTTCAGTTGTTATCTTATCTCGTGAAGCACAAAGGCAATTTTGTTCGTACTTGAGAAAATATGTCGATATGCGGGTTGTTGGCATTAAATCTTTTAGCAGACTACAATGTTTTCACTTAATCTGTTATCAGTTGATATTCATCAGCCATTATGACATAATTTATTAGATTTTGTCGCGCGTAAAAATTCATGAATGAAATTATTCTTCGGGGAAGTTGGCATGAGACTTGATTTTATTTATTTCTTAAATGTTGCCGGTGGTAAAAGAGCAACATCAAGGAGCTTCAGCCACTTAAAATAATGATGAGTTCTACTGAATATTTCAAGTTGGTTAAGCGAATAGAAATCCTGCATCAAGCTAGTGTAACTCTGGGATGGTGCTGGATTCGAATTGAGTTCAGCACCATGCCAGAGTTACACTAGCTTGATGCTGGATTACTATTTGATTAACCAACTTGTGCTATTCAGGCATACTCACTCTGATCAAGAATTAACTTCAAAGTTTCTAGAATTCATCAAACTTAATTAGAATCTCCCAAAAACCGAATAATTTGCACCATGTTCCCTTAGTCTAAATCCATTTTTAAATCCTTAAACCACAAGTCTCACGCCAACTTCACGTCAGCCTCAAGAATAAAAGCCGTTCCTCGTGAAAAACATGAAAAGAAAAAAAAAGAAAATTGTGCGATGTGGGCGGGAAACTTGATGTTAATCATCATTCATCCTACATAAAAATTCTCCAACTGCTGTTTACACTATTCGTTTCTCTTACTTTGACAAGTCTCATGATAATGAATTATTGTGACGTCAAATGACATGCAAATGAAATTTATGAGGCAAAACTACTGAATGTGCTATAATGTTGGTGAGAGATGCTGTTGATGATAATGATGATGATAAATTAATTAGAATAATTTCGTGATCATGAGTGTTAGTAGGAATGGAAATAGAGTAGAATAGTATGTCCAAAAATAACGATATGTCAGCACTGTCATAATTCCATTTGATTAGAGATTTACTTCTGTTGTTGTTAGCAATTCATTTTCATTCTCGATTTCATCCATTAAAGTTGTGTCTTGTTGATAATCAGTTGTAGTTTCGACTAAATCGTCACTGAGTGGGTCGGGTTGTGCATAAATATCAACTTCTGGGATGTCAACAACAATTGTGTTATTCAGCCTGGAATCATCTGTATATTTATAGATTGAATAATAAGCTTGAACTCGTTGAGCAACATATTCTAGGAATGATGGAAATTGTGAATAAACTGTGTCAGTTGCGGGTCGTGGTGCACGATTCCATGGATTTTGAAACAAAGCTAGAAATTGGCTTATAAATCCCTTTTGTGGAAGTCTGTTTCGTATGCTGTGTGGAACGAGGAACGTAATGACTGAGTAGTTTCCACTCTTCAAATTCGTGGTATTCGGTTCGAGGTATGAGAATTTAATAGCAGTATTACTACTCAGCAATGAATCAAGCAAATATGTTGAAAAATCAACAAAGTGTGGATTTTCCTGGGATTGCTCTTGAAAATTATTCGTTGGAGCGGATATACGTTGTGTGGTTGTTGGGGGCAACATTGTGGTATCCGACGATCTCAATCGAAATGCGCTTAAAAGTTTTTTAAAAAAATTCTGCACTGGACGTGACGCACTCGAATTGAGCTCATTATTTTGCCTTGACTCGAGTTCCAGCTCATGTTGCTGTGGTTTCTGCATCCGATATTGTTGGTTCTCCTCTAATAGCAACGGATGTGAGTAAGCTGTTGAGTAGCTTATGATGACGATGAAAATTAATGTTAAATGCATCGTCCTGACATGAATGGATGATGGTTCGTGCTTTCGTGTGTACTCTCCCATATATACACTTAAATGATTGCGGATCTGCTCATGAAATATTCAGTACATGCCGTTTCGTGCTTTTCTCACTCGTGCTTGCTTCCTTGCTTGCTCGCCTGCCTGCTTACTCTCGAAGGATGTATCTTTCTACAGAAAATTGATGACTGACACAAAGATACCATTAGTTTACTTTTCAGTTACTCTCTTACTCTTTTTAGCACGTTTCTTCTTGAGGTAGGGGTGGGATTGAGATTGTTCTGGATGAATGGGTTAAATCGGGATTTAATTTATTGGTCAGCTTTGATGTTTTGTGGAAATACTCGGTAGTTGTATGAAATTTATTTGAATGAATATTTTGATACAAAGAATTAGGAATAGGGATTGAGTCAATAGTAGGGTGACCATCTGCGTAGTTTTACAACGGACAGTCCTGTATTTCAAAACCCTGTCCTGTATAAATTTGAAAATTTTGTTCCAGGTCCTGTATTTTTTTCACGAAATATTCCGTTAATTTTCAAATTTTCCTTTGTGTCCTGTATTTTTTAAGGAAATTTATCAAATGTCCTGTATTATCATAAAAATTAGATGGTCACCCTAGTCAATAGACAACATTTACGGTTTCTAAACCAAAGGAACAACCTGAGTTCGTTCGTAGGATTCAAATCTTAATTAATCGGAAGGAAACGAAGCTTTATGGATAAGAGGTTACTATAACATTAATTAGCTAATTGTTAAAACTAGTAATTAGCCATAGCTTATTACTAGATTTAATATCATAGCTATCAGACATGCTTAGCTTAAAAATGCTTTAAACAAATTCTTTGAAGATCTTCTCACTAAAAGCAATGACTTATTCTTAAAAATCAACTGACCCACCTCAAGAAAAGTGCGCAAGAATTACTCAACATCATTATTTCCAGTTCTTCATGCTTAATTTCTTCGTAAAACCCACAAAAATTACAAATAATCCAATAAAAGTTATAAAATCAACTCACATTTTTAAAATCTCTCCACAAATTCACAAGAAAGATTTTTCAAATTACTTATTTTCCAAGCTTCACTTCTAATCACGAGCACAACTGAGAATTGAATGTTGTCTGTTAAATCTTCTTTTATTATTGCAATGCTACTTAAAGAGTGGAGAAATGTGAAATGTACTCGTAGAAATGTGTAAAAATATATTTATCGCTACTCTTCGTTTATAATCGAGAATGTCTTAAATGAAGAGAGAATGGACTGATTGTCAGTCAATCTAAAGAATATAACTGTATTAAAAAAGAAAGAATTTTATTGCTTGCTAATAGTAGCCGCAAACTTACAACCGGTTTTTCGACTGTTGTTTACCTTTCTCTTTCCTTTTGGACGTTCTTAAAAAATGTTTTTTTCTTCTTCTCTGCTCTCTTTCGCTCTTATAATTCAACGATGATACATTCCTTTCCAGATAATACACTGTTTACATGATGATTTAAGTAGTAAGCCTTAAGAGATTTTTTTTGTGCACAGTCATGATATTTTTCGATGATGTTTTTGTGCTGATAAAAAAATTTATGGGTACACAGTATTAAATTTAATTTTTACAGCCTAAAACTCTCTTTTGTGCCTCGATGAGAAAGTTGTTCTGAGAATTTGAGCTTTTAATGATTCATTTACTTACATTGTATCTCATGATGGTGCTAAATGGTTATATTAGTCTTTAAATTCTTAATAAACTTAAGAAAGTATTGAACTACAGTAGCAGGGGTGTAGCTAGGAATTTTAAGACCTGAGAGGGAGGGGAGGGGGCAAAGTGGTTTTTTACATGGAAAATTTAGAGGGGAGGACGGAATTTTAAGGATTTTTAACGCCTCAACTACAGTATCAGTAATTGAAAAGCGGGAATTAGTCATAGAGCTAGCTACTTGTGCTATTTAAGGGATATCATGAATAACAATATATTCTAATATAGTGTCTACTTAGTAAAGGTCCCTAAATACAGATGATAAGCTGGTTGTAGATTGCCTTTAAGAAGTAATTCAAAGATGTTATTCGTTGAGCCATTACTATGCCATAAAAAGAAAATACTAGATCCAATTATATACCATCCAACATCTTTACCAAATAACAACTTTTATTGAACAAAGCACAACTCAAAACTTAGTTTTTCAATTAATTTTAATGATGTTACCTAAACAGCATGAAGTTTTTCTTAAATCGAATTTTCAAATCATAATTCAATATCCCCATGACATTCATGAAATTGCATGCTTCCACTGACCTAAATGCAATTTTCTTAAACAACAAAATAAAACTTTATTAAATCGTTACTTTTATAGACTATAAAAGGTTATAAGATTACAATTGAAATGCAATTTATCGATATTTTTAAAGTTCTTAATCTTCAAGTTGAATTTTATATAGTTTTCAGCATAAATCTATCATCTCCCAATGAAATGTTCATGATAGTTGATATGTACGATAATTGCAAGAAAGTTCTACTTGGATGCAGATTTACAGCGCATATTTGAGAGTTTTGAGAAGACATACAGACAAACATTCAGCGCATTACAAGCTGTGACACTAAAAAAATTAAGCTAAAGAAGCACATCAACAACAAAAAGAGAAGGAAAAACGGAAAGAAAAATTGTTTCAAACAAAGAAAATTGCATTTGGCACGGGCTTAAATTAAATTGAAACACGAACAGGATTGTGTGGGATAGCGCATTACAATGTGGAAGAGAAATGGAACACGTTTTAAAAAATATCTTCTTCACATGACAGCAGCACATCTTTTCTGTTACTTTATTCCATTTTCTTCTCTTTACTTTCCACTTCTTTCCTTATTGCTAATGTTTAAGAATTGCTGATTCATGAAATTTTATGCTCATGTTCATTTGTAGCTTGTCTAACTTATTCTTCCTTGATCTGTGGGTAGTTATTCAATTTTTTGATTTATAATCATATTCGTCTAAATTGGCACGATAGCTGATGCTTAAAGTTTACTCTCAATAGATCAGAAAATATTTTTCATTCCACTTGAAAAAGCTTTTGAATCTAATTTCTGTTGAGGAAAGCTTTATATGAGTAGTAAGTAGATAGAAAATCTCATAAGGCTCTTATTGCCTTCTTGAATTTAAAAGCTAGGCTGAAATATGAATCGAACATTAAATATTGCAGGCTGACACTTGAAACTTTATAAAGATACTCTCATTTTTAATAGCATTATAATATATGGAAGAATTTACTCGTGCTTAAAATCTCTTACTATATAACTCAAATGGAAATCAGTGTGAGTAGGAAAATTTGAGATGAGTTTTTTTTATTCTTGATCTTTTCAATATTGAATGTGCTTACTCATATTTCTGTTTAATGGGTATCATTATGGCTACTTAGGGGTCGATCAAAAGGAATGTGCATCAAAAACTTGAATTTTGAAAATCAAGACGAAGTTTTCATAAATTGGATCGCAGTGCCTCCAGGTGAAAGGCTGGGCTCTACACACATTATTATTGAGACGAAGTTTTCATAAATGACTTCTTATTGTTTGAGGCCGTTCACTTATGACGTCCAGGGGGGGGGGGGGTCAGCAAGAAAAGAACAATAGAAATTCCTGGAAATCCATTGTTTGTTTTTGAAAAATGACCGTTAATTTTGGACGTCATAAGTAAACGACTCCTTTTTATATCTTCGGATTTTTTATTTTTGAAAAACTTTGTGAAACTTTTGGGATTTGAATCGTATTTAGAAGACTATGGTTTAGAGAGTTTATCAAAAGTCGATAAAAGGAGATGATATTAATCGTTAAATTCACTTTTCATCTTGCTTGACTCTTCAGAAAAAGTTTAAAGGCTGTTTAATCGTTAATAATGGGCCTTCAATTTATTTCTAATATCAAAAGAATCCCTAAAAGACCTCAATTATTAAAATTCACAATTTTTTTGAAACATCTTGACGTCAGCATATTTGCGAATGTAAACTCAAACTCTTTTGTAGCATTCTTAAAATCGATTTAACATTTATTTTCGATTCCAACAGTTTCACCGTTAAAACTTGTTTACAAAGCTACAACATATATGTTATTTTAAACGTAAAAGGATACCTCCGCAACATATTTTATGTTTTTTTGACAGATTTTGTTTACATGTAAACTTGATGATAAACAATTTGATAAAATTCTATTGTTTCTCTATCCTCTGCCTCGCATCTAAAATGAAAACAATGTAAGCTAAATTGATTGGAATTTGAGGTTTCAAGCGACCTGTTGTCAATAAACATTCTCTGGAATGTCTTTATTATTTTTCTAAAGTTTATTTGTATAATGGAAGTTTAATGAAGGTTGTAGGATGAAGGAAGAAGCAATGGAAAATTATTGTAGGTGAATATGACGCATTTATATGGTTGTTACCTTTAAAGTGCTGAGATTAGGTTTCTTGCAAACTGTAATGTTGACGTCATGGGAGTTTAAGATCAAAATCAATCTTTGTCCTTACATAAAACATTCAAAATTTATTCCTCGAAAATTTCCTAACTCCAACCACACTGTAGCCGCAATATAGTAACCCCCTTCCAACAACACGCGTAGCTATAAAGCCAAAAAACATAATCATCAATTGCAATATTTTTTTTATCAACAAGAAAAACTTTTTCTTCAAGCTTATCAAATCACGTTATTGTTGAAAGCACAGAGACTAAGTTTAAGAAGGGAACAACAAAATAAAAGAAAAAAAAAATTTCTTCCTCCCTTTCGAAAAAAGAAATGTTTAATTTACATAATTGCCAAATTGGCGGATCGATCCATTAACTTTACTTTTCCCTTCATTATACGCTGCTATTTGTTGTTACTGTAGCTGTTGAAAAGCGATTTTCATTGCATTAAGAAGTTAAGTTTGATAAATAGTTTCATGTCGCAGTCTTCAAAAAACCAACCAGTCTTTTCTTCACGTAGCTCAAAAGCTGAAATGAGTAAAGTTCCAATTCACATTTCAATAATAACACACACACACAGCACATAGAAATAAATTCCCTTTTTTCCATTTGATATTACCGAATGAAATAAGCACAGAGAGGATATGAAAAAAAAAATTTGAAAGAGAATGAATTTGAGTAGAACTATCAACGATTAATCAACATCAACTGACTTTGAATGATGAACAGTTTATGCTAAAGCAGTTCAGTCGATGGGGGTTGAAGGCAAAGGAAGAAAAAAAAATATTATGGAGATTGGATGTGTATTTGTGCATGTTTGTTTGTATAATATGCCATATCAAATACATATTCACATGATGCCATGTGGCAAAGTTCATACCAGATGTGCAGACATATTATTTATGCATGAAAATGCCGCGCTATTGGCACATTGGCCTTAATTTTAATTTTTCAAGTGGATTTTATTAATGCTTTCCTTTCTCGCGTTGTATCATTTAGTCGCATCGTTGGGTGGCGTCATGTCAAATGTATCCTTACATGATACGGCAAGACAGCGGCAGGCACTTGAGATGAATGGAATTTTCTTCTACATAAATCTTTAAAATTATATCAAGAAAATGATGCAAGGAGTTTTGGATTAGGGGTTCTTGACGATGCTATTGAGAAATGTCTTCAAGATTAAGATCCAATCTAAACGGAGAACTATATTTCAATAAGGATGTATGGAGTCGAGTCGGCTCAGCTTGACTTTTTCAAGGATGCAAAAATAATCAATTGAAATTTCATTAAATTCGACATGACTTCAAGTTCAATTTGAGCACTGACATACAATTCTGATATAATCAATTTCATTTGCAATGTATTTTGACTAGGGTTCGGAAAACCACTAACTGATTATCTACAGTTATCAACTTTTAGATTATCTACACAAAATCTACAGTTATCTACAGTTAGTAAACTGTAGATAAATTTTTTGAATGAAGAAAATCCGTTAAAAAAATTTGCAAAGTTTTGTAAACAAACAAATTTTGGAGACTTTTTTAATAAATTTATATATAGAATACACTTATTATACATTAAGAGAGCTCAAATGTCAACATTAGCTATTAAAAATCAACTTTTTGCTTATCGAATATTTGTAACGGTTATAAGAAATTCAAATATTGTTCACATGTTTGTAAACAAAAAAAATTTGCGAAAATTTCTTAATTTTCAATTAAATCACCACACAAACGCTTTTAAAATACTGAATGAAGCCTAATGTCACTTTATTTGAACTGTTACATGCTGTTGCAGTCCTGATTTTAGCATTTCAACTCTTTTTTCAGTAAATTAATAACGTTTTTTTTCCACTTTGAAAAAATTATCTACAGTTACTTATCTACAGTTACAAATTGTAGATAACTGTAGATAAGTGTTACTAACTGTTAATAACTGTAGATTTCCGAACCCTAATTTTGACATCTATATCTGTGAGTCATGACAGGTGACATTTTAACCTTCTATGTGTGTTGATTGATCATGTATGATTTAAGTTTATTCACTTGACAAGACGAAAGGAAGCAAAATGTGTTACTTTTAGCTTCTTTTATTGTTGTTTTGCGAACTAATTGACTTTCCTAAGGTAAAATTTAGGGAAGAGGGTGTTTTGAGGTTCAAAAAACGCTAGAAAACCTAAAAACTTTTCTGAATCAAGAAAAATGGAGACTGACCTCAAAAAATCATAGAACGACCTCAAAAACTTCATTCTAACTTCAACACAGAATGTTTGGATGCAATCCTTAACACAACTAGATATAAAAATACAAAAATTCACAGCTTGGTTGACACATCTCGATAACCGAAAGCTCAAACCCTCTACCAAGCCAACATCACCGCAATTTTCAAATGAGAAAGCAAAACTTTAATGCTAGCACATTATTATTCAGCAAAAACTTTTCACTTCTCCCAAAAAAAGAAGAAATTCTCATCTTATTCCCGTTTTATTTCTTTCTATTTTTCCTTTTAAAAAACATTCAGGATCATGTCGAAATCATTGCTAGTCTTAAGGCGAGAAAGGGATTCCTTTTCTGAAAAAAGCATGAAGAAGGAGAAAAAAAAACGAGCAGCAATGAAAAAGAGAAACGAGAGAAAGAAGCAGAAAAAATGAAGATAATTTTCCGCCTGATGTGCAAATTCCATTCCTCGGTTCTGATTTATTACACTTGCCAACGCTAAATTATTAGATCGTGTTCGTTTCTAAGATCGTTAAAGTACTGCTGCATGCAATTTTTATTATTTATAAAACATTTGTTTTTATATTTCACTCAATATCTTTTATACACACGCACCCACACACATACTCAAAAAAACTGAAGTGTGTACATTTATTGACTAGATTTATGCACGAATGTCTTGCGATTACGATTTAAAGTGAGAAAATAATGGAAAGGCGTTGCTTCTGCGGTTCGTTCCTGATTATGAATGATATTGGTAATGTATCAAGGACCTTTGCAGCTTAACAGGAGCGTAGCTGGATGTTTTGTGTTGGGAGTAACGATATGGAACTGATCAACTGACTTTTGACGGTTGTTCCTCATATTTCAATAGTTTTATGAAATGGACAAAAAATATTTAAGGGAGGGAGGCTCAAAAAAGTCTGGAAAATTGAAAAATTTTCTCCACAGCTGAGCGTTTGACCCAAAGTACCTCCCCGGCTATGCCCTGCAACTAATTATCCATAATACTTTGTAATAAATCTCATGAATGAAATTACTGTGCATAGCACAATGAAATTAATAATTTCATTTTCTTTATCGTACCAAATTAATTTCGACCCGTCGTGCAAAACACGAAAAATAATTTATTTGAAAGTTCCGATACTTAAACTTATTTTTTTTTCTATTCTATATTTCTTTGTTTTGCTTACACACTTTATTATTTTCAAATGCAAAAGTTCGTATTGAGGTAGGACAAGTAAGTCGTAAAGGACTGAGAAAGAAAACAAACCAGTATATAATGCTTCCCGTTAACTTTTATTGGACTAGTTGAGCGCGTTTCTTTCCTTCTTCTTGTTCTTTATCGAATTGGAAGCTTTAAATGTCACTATAAAAAGATTTTAACTGTTTCTGATTTTTAATGTTGAGAGTCACATAGCGTACTAATGATATAAAGATGTTGGGAGTTCCCATAAATAAGTTGAATTAAAAATTCTTGACAGCAGGAACTTCATTTGCAGTTATTGCTTATAAATTGAATCTTCAGCATGTGGGAGTTCCTCTCTGTAAATGTAATTGCTGAATCTTCATCTGAAATTCAAGCTTTTTACAAACATTCAGATTCCTTGATGAAATTAAAGCTGCTCTGAAAGAGATTCCGTTTTGAATTGCAAATGTTCTGTTTATAAACTTTGATTATTAAGTTGTTTTCTTTCCAAAACTTAAAAAGCAACTCGTGTCTATTTTTATCTTGTGAGCTAAGCTGCGTAAATGAATAAAATTGCTTTCTTCAATTTAAAGCGATGATTTATATTTCCATATAATAAAAATAATAGTATAGAATGAGGAGCATAGCAAGGAAGAAGTTGCGTTCAGGTTAATAAATAATTATTAAAAGGTGGATTTAGACTAAACTCATGTCTAATGATTGTGAAAGAATTAGAGGAACTGGTCAAACCTAAATCAAAACAACTGCCTTTAGTAAGATTTGGTCGTTAAGATTTTAGTTACTTATACTCAGTTTGAGAAGATCTAGCTGTGCTACGTCTTTTAACTGAGTGTAGGAATGTTTTTGAGGGTAAGTCTAAGTTTTTCTGAATTAATTCAATTTATTGAATATTTTGTAGACTAAATTTTGACTCCTAGTGACCTCCCTAAAATGCTCGTCACTTCCTTTCTTAGCTGGTCGTCCTTTGAAGTGGCTCTCAACGTTTTTGGATCTTCCCTCATTTAACCACTTATTAAGTGACATGTTTTTTTGCGACTTACATGAGGTCTATACCGATACACTTGTTTGCAGTAAAGTGTAGTTTGAAAAGCTCTAATATATTTTAATCTATTTCCATCGCAAGAAACAACCTTTTCTCTTTAAAGCAGCTTAAATCACCTTAAACACCTTCACTTGAAAACAAAACAAATTCAATTGTTAAATTGTACTCACAACTTTAACACCCAACCAACAACAAAAGCAACCTTAATAAGCTCACCCAAGCAATTAATAAAGAAAAACGAGCTAAAATAATTAAATACCACCTGAAAGCCATCGAGAATGAAAAACGGAAATGAATTAGATTAAAAATTTATTTAATAAACTTTTTTCTTTATTTCTTACTGAGAGCGGAAAGTAGAAGAAAAAAAATCCTCACCTAATCTGAGAATGAAAATCGTTCGAGATTAAAAAAAAAATTCTATTATGAACTGGCACATTTATAAAGAAAAACGAGCTAAAATAATTAAATACCACCTGAAAGCCATCGAGAATGATGATTTATTCAAAGTAATTTCTTATTCGGTATGAAGACGAAGACGATGGAAGTAAAAGAAGAGAATTAAATGCTGTGCAAAATTAATCTCATTTTCAGAAGTCATCGTCATATTGGAATTTGTGGAATAAAGCAGCTTTAGCCATATTTGGCTCGTAAATGTCTTCTTGATCGATACTTGAGTCTATCAGTGACTCATTTATGTCTGTCTCGAAATTTTTAATCATTTCCTCGCGCTCTCGATCCAACATTTCGAGGGCATCTGTCGGAATTTGGATTTCCTTCTCAATTTCACTCTCATTCATTCCGAAATTTGTCTCAATTTCCTTTAGTGCTGACTTTAAAATATGATTGACATTCTCATTGACTGTATTGTGATCGATCATAACTGAATTGAGAATATTTTGTGCATTTTCAAGTTCCAATCTATCCTCAGTGTCTTTTACGAGATTCATGACATGATTGATGCTGTCTTCAAATGAAACAGGTTTAACTAAACCTTCTTCGACTGTCAGTTCTGGCACAACTTCTAATATTGTGATCTCATTGGTATCATCTGATGTTGGCATCTCTGGTCCCTTAACAGTTTCTGTATACACTTCTGGCGTGTCTTCTGTCATGAAATTTGTATCGTGTACGTTTCCTAAATTCTCTATTTTCAAGTCAATTTCATTGGCAATCGTGCCTGCATCTGATTCTGGTGGCATTGTGACAACACTTGTATCAATTTCAGATTCATTGTTCTCTACATCAGTTGCCTCAGTCTTAATCTCTTCCTCTTCATTATTTTCATTAAATTCAAATCCAGATGTTGACGATGACAAGTCCTGTTCAGTTGAATGTTCTACAATGTCACTTTCAGTTGTTGCTGATCCTTCTGTATGAATATTTTCATCCACAATATCATCTGGAGAAGATGTAGTTGCATCAGCAGTTGGAATAAATAAACCATTCTTAATGCTAGTTACACTGACACCAAGAACGGATGACAACAAATCCCCGACAGCGTTCAAAAGTGCTTCAGGAATTTCATTTTTGCTACTCGTTTCCTCAGAATCTTTTTCATCTTCTGTAAAAGTTTCACCATTCGATTCTGCATCATCGTTGTGCTGCTCATGCACATTATCTGTTAAAATTGTATCCATATTTGTTGTTTGTTCTGGTGGATTTGTTGGTACAATTGTAGACTCGCTCTCGCTATCGAGATCGACAGATTCAATAATAGACATTCCTGATGTTGTTGCTACAATTTCTTCTTCTTCTCCGTCCTCCTTTTTCTCATCTTCTGCTATAGCAATTTCAGAATTAATAGCCATTGTTGTTTCACTAACTCTATCATCATCATCCTCATGATCATCTTTGTCATTGTCCAATTGAGGTTTCTCCGTATTGCTCATGGCATTAGATTCATGCACAAGGTCACTTTTTTCAATTACTTCATTTTGCTCATTCGGCAAATTTATACTGATTCCAGTATCAAATTCACTTGCTAATTTCTCTATTTGTTCGCTCACAACTTTTTCAATTAGTGCTGTAAAACTCTCATCATTATCAGAAGAATTATCTTTGATGGTTGTATGGTGTTCTTCGTGTTCCTCATCCGTCACGTCTTCGGTCACAACGGGTGCCTTATGGGGAAGAAGAAAAAATAAAACACAGAGAATGTGAGGCGAAAAAGAATGCGAAATAAATGAATAAGAAGAAATTAAGTTAAATTTTGTTGGAGACTGAATCAGAGGCGTAGCAAGGGATGAGCGGGATTTAATTTCTTTGTATTTATAATACATGTAAAGGATTGCTCAAGATTTTTTTCTTCAATAAACTAGAAGCTTTTGGTACGCCCCTGCCTTCAATTTAAGAAATGGCAATAATTAAGACAAAAATTTACCTCGGGAGATTCATTAGAATTTGTTACATCCAATTCCACTGGTGTCATGGTTGGCTCATCATTCTTATTATCATCAACATTTTCACTAGAAATTGTCGTTGTGACAAGATCTAAAGTTGATGATGATGAGGTCGATTCTGCTGCACTTCCACCACCACCAAAATGAATTTGTTTTAGAATGTCATAAAATGAACTTGATTTTGATCCATTCTGGTTGAAAAATTTACTCGGTACACTATACTGAATTACATCGGGAAGTGGATGACTTTGTACACTGAGACTGCATAGTATGACTACTATAAATGACACTAAATGTCTCATGATATGGTAATAAATAATACTAAATTATATTTTATTCAAAAACGAAAAAAAAAATTGTCGCAAACACTCAACACGAGCGTCTCTCGTCTGCACGAATGAGATGATGACTGAGAGCCAACAGATTTAAGCTTTCTTTGTTACCTTTTTTTTCTTACTTCTTTCTTTTTACGATTTTTTTTGCTCGTTTTGCTTCATCGTTATGTTCTGAAATAAAAAAAATTCTTCATCTTCATCCACATATTTTGTTTAATATTCTTGATTTCTCACAAGTCCATTCACATTCGTAATAAAATTAAAGTCATGAAGAAAAGAGACTTTTATACAGTAATTCTACGATACATACGATAGAAAATCAACAGTCTACTGTCTGAGTGGACTACACATTAATATGAGGCTCTGATATTACCGAAATAATGATATAGTCGCCGATTCTCATTGTTGTTGCCAATGTCTCACATGTGTGAATGAAATTAGCATGAAACTTACTTTTAGAATTTCTTGATTAAAGCTGTTGGGCGCATTCTTTGATGGTAAATTGTCTAGCATTAATCAAACAAAAATTATTTTTTAAGTCGACAAATTTGTTCATCAGTCGGTCAATTAGGAGATTGTCGTTGATAAAATATTCTTCTGGTTTCTTAAGAATCAGTTATGTGTCAATTTCATAATGATTTAATCTGTTATTAAGGTGTAGAGTCAATTAGTATGATTAATGGTAAATGATTGGTTTGTGAATGTGAATGAATGGAGTCACTTGGACAGACATGAAGTCTATTTCTAAAAAGGTTCTTAAAATTTGGTAAAAAGCGTAAAAAGAGATTTATGAAGTCTATTTTTTTTGACACTGAAATTCAATTTAATTTAATAATTTCTAAAAAGTACTTAATAAAATAACTTAAGAGCTTATGGACGAGTCATAGTATGTTTCAAGGAAGGACTGTCTAGTATTTGGGAAGACTGGAATTTATGTTTATGTTTATTATTTGTCAGACTTTTAAGCCCGAGCGGCACAAGGTGGAGGGTGGTCTCCATATGGAATCCATATGAAAGCCACCTCCACTATGTGGGAAGTAAATGGAGGGTTATTTTTTCATCCTTCATATTGATTCCATTTGGATTCCATATGAACTCCGCTTTTTCTTAAATCAAATACCGAAAAACTCGTGCTTTTGAATTTTTAAAAGACAAAGGTCAGATCTTACTGTAATGGATTGAAATATTGTCGAAAAGCTTTACTGAATCATATTGCTTCATTTCAAGCATTAAAAAAGCAAAAAAGGATAATTTTTTGTGATTTTGTATGAAATTACATACTTCACAAGCGCATGCAGAAATCACTATTATATGGGGTCGTTTAATTTGTATGAAAATTTTTAATAATTTCTTATGTTTCTCACGCGTGTGATCGAGACTTAGAAATTGCTGTGGTTGCGACTTAATTAAATTAAGTTGTAAATTTTTCAATAGTGTTAGTGTACTTTAATTAAGTCCACTAATACAGCTACAAATCTTGATATAAAAATTGCGAAACATAGAAAAACACGTGGAAAATCGTACCAAAAATCCTTTGAAAAATACTTCCATTAAACCTCCGTTTGACTACCACAAATGGATCCTCCATCCTCCATCAAAACCTCTCAAATGACTTCCATTTGGTGTTAATAAATGCACGTCCCACGGAGGATTTTCGGAGCTTTGGCTCCGTCAAAGTTCCATGATAGTAAGGTTTTCGGAAGATTTTCAAATGGAGGTTGGAACATGGAGGCTCCGTATAGCTTCCATATGGAAGGAAAATGGAGCCTTTGTGCCGCTCGGGAAGAGATATGACACTGCAATACAGTTGGATGAAATAACAATACAAGACTTAGATAATATAAAATCTAAGGTATTGGTCAATATGTTGCCGAATTTATCATTTCGACAGTAAAACCTTTGTGGTCGAGTGTTTATACAAAAACCTGGATTTCGGGAATAATATTTTATGAGAAAGTAAGTTCGATTCTGGAAGGAAGCTGTTGTCAGAGATAGCATAGCATTTTGAATTGACGATTGGCAAAGAGTAGCCAGCGACAGTCTTTTTCAGGTGCCAACTAAGGAAGGCTATGGATCACAATTGCACTGTAAAGCCAGCAATGTATGTATTTATGTAAGTTTGGTTCTCACCAGAAGAATCTCTCACAGAAAGACAGATTCTAAACTGCTCAGATAAGTCTATAATAACATCTTCATCATATCCATGGCCCTAACGCACTTAACGCCCTACGATTCACAGTGGATCAATAGGAACTAATGTATCATCATATCCATGGTTGTCCAAAGTGACCAACCCAAACTACATCATTCTAACGAGAGAAAGCTCTGAAAAATTGCATACCTCCAATTTTTTCTTCTTCTTCCTCTTCTTGTTAATTCTTATAATGTTCTTACGTTCTCACTCGTGTGTAGTTTTAATCAACTATGACTAAACCAGTTCTTTTTTTTTTTGTATTTTCATACATTATTTTTTTAACATATAAAATTTATTCATTTTGTTATTATTACTTTTTCTCTTTCCCTCCAGCCATGTCTCTCGGTTACTCTCACAAAATCTATAAAAAAAGAACACTGAAGTTCTTCTTCATCATGCATTTATTGTGTATATGTTGATAGAACGATTACGTATGTAATTTATCCGTTAAGCGCGCATTCAATAAAAGAAATCAATTTTGAATATTCATACATGCATGTATGTGTGTGTGGTTGTGTCATTAGGTGGTAAGCATGCCTGAGCATATTCATACATATGTAAAATGCGCGAGTCATCACCATCATTTAAAAAAAAAACACGGGTCAGTGAACCAACTATTTATATCGTTAATAAGTTGAGAACAAAGAACTAGCAAGCTATCTTAATTATTTTTATTGTGTGTAATTAAGGAGCTTAATGTTGTGTCTTAAGATAGAAAAAGAAAATAATTTTTTATCATGAATTTTTAATTCTAATAAAGATTTTGCTCATTTACTCATGTATTAAGAAGTTGCTCTAAGTGCCATTAAATTTTGTTCAACTCCGAAAAAAAAAGAAAGAATCTCATTTGCTCGGTTATCACACACATACATTCGGTGCTGTTAATGTAAATATTTAATTTCTTATTAATTGTTTTCTTAAGTATCTTTCTGCTCCAAATACCTTTTTGTCATGAAACTTGTGCAAATATTCTATTTGGATTTGCGAAAATATGTGTGAGATTATTTATTTTATCGTTGTTCCATTTCTTTGCTCTCCGTGATAGCATTTCATTTTGGGAGAAGATGTTTTTGAAATGTGAAGTATGTATTGTGAATAGCAAGAAGACAAGAGCTTGTTAATATTTTGGAGAAAATTAATCTTGGATTCCTTGATTGGATGATTATGGCGAATTTTTTATTTTGGCTGGATTATTTTTTTTGGGGAATATGTAGAACACGACTTATACATTTTTAAAGGTTGAAGGAGATTTTTAATTTTCTTATTTTTTTGAATGCTCAAATTGCTGAACGACATCGATTTTTTGAGGAAAAATTAAATTGGTTGTACGATCAAGGATTCAAATTAAACTAGGCTATAATGCCAGGACTTTAATTAAACTTTATACTTGCGCCTGTGAAAAAATTTGGAGCTGTGGTTATTGTCGGATATTTTCACTGAAACTTCTGAGAAATTGTTAAATTCAGAGAGATTTTAAATCACCTTATCTCCCATTATTGATTGATTTTAGCAATTTCGAATATTTTGATCAGTTCCAACTTGTCGTGTCCCTTTACTTGAGTTCCTGAAATCTTAGTAAGATCTTTGTCGTACCAACAAAAACAGTGGTTCTCAAAATATGTGCCGTGAAAATATTTGATTACTTAAATTGGCTCTTTATCTTAATGTTTTATGACTTCAAAAAGGTTATGAATATCATTAATTGTGCCGCGAGACTATTCAGGTATGCCGCGAAAACTTTTATGCAAAACAATTTGTGCCGAGGACCAAAAAAGTTTGAGAAACACTGAACAAAAGTCTATGTAATCGATAAAAGATCACACTTTAATGGGAATCAAGAATCCTTACTCTTACACTGACATATTTTACTCCATACGGCTCGATCTCCTCAAATTCCATTTTGCCTCTGTCACTACAATCTTAAGCAACGTAGCAATGAATTTAATCCTTAAAATGACATAAATTAAATTAACAAGAACACAGATTTCTTTCTTTAAAATTTCAACAATCAATCGAAACCAAAACTTCGATTAAAATTTTAATTACTGTATTAATTTTCTACCTTACGACTAAGTTCTTTGAAGACATGTCTCGCATCGTTCAACTCGATTTATTTCCCCAATTTAAGAATTTCTTACAACAAAAAAAAAAGTTTAAAAGCAATTTAATTTCTCCAATCTTGTAGAAAAGTTGAAATTATTTACCAATTTAAGCATGAAATTGTGTCTGATTAAATTATCTTCTATGGACGTTCTGTAAAATTTGATATGGAGTATGTACCCATCATCATCATCATCATTAGAAAATCTTCGCATGAATTTTTCAGACGACAAATATGTTACCAAAAATGTCATCCCAGCATCACACATAATAACTCATCAAAATAATTTTATTTTGTATATGCTAAAGAAATTCAAGAATCATCTTACATCTCACAAGTGTTTATTTTTAAGCAATTTTTTTTTCATCATGCACAACGCAAGAAATTCTTTAAAGTGAAATCAAATCATAATCGCGTAAAATTCGTCAATTGAATGCTACTCGTGTTTGTCTTCTTCTTCAGTCAGTACAAGAAACGATAAAATTACAATCAGCTTGAAATGGAGCTTATAGAAGAACAATCAATTCAACGTAGGAGTCATTCATAAATGATGTCCAATTTTTAAGAGGATGGTTGAGGATGTGTTGCTGTCTGACACTATGAGAAAGGATAAAGGGAGGTTCACAACATTCAATTGACATCATTTATAAACAATCCCTAATTCGATTGATTTAAAGCTCCTCTTCTTATGCGAATACTGTATGCTGTAAAGCAATATTGGATGCAAAAAAAAATTAAGTCTAGTGAACAATGTGTGATGGAAATATTAATCATTTTTATGTTCTTTATAGCTATTTATGCC